TCCATTATTATTATTTGGGGGGGGGAAATAATAATAATGAAATGGTTTTTCATTCCATCATTATTATTTGGGGGGGGCGGCCCATTGTTGTTAATTTAGGGGGGGGGAAATAATAATTATTATTTTAAAGGGGGGGGAAATAATAATAATCAAATGGGGGAAATAATAATAATGAAATGGCTTTTGATTCCATTATTATTATTTGGGGGGGAATAATAATAATCAAATGGCTTCCCATTCCATTATTATTATTCGGGGAGGGCGGGGGGGAGGGTGGGAAAAAATAATGATCAAATGGCTTCCCATTCCATTATTATTATTTGGGGGGGGGGGGGGGGGAAATAATAATAATAATGAAATCCTTTCCCTTTCCATTATTATTATTTGAAATAATGCCAGGGGGTCTCCATTATTTCTTCGCGTGCCCCCTGCAAAAGTCTACAGACCCTAAACCCTAAACCCTAAACCCTAAACCCTAAACCCTAAACCCTAAACCCTTCAAAAAAAGTCCACCCCCCCCCACCCCACCCCCCCCGCCCGCCCCTCGCCATCGCCTTCACGAAGCGCACCTTCAGCCTCCAGCGCACGCTCGTGCTCCTCCTTGACCTGCACCTGGGCTTTTGGGGTTCACAGTTCAGGGTTTAGGTCGAGGGATTCGTATAGGGGTTTGAGGGTTTCGGGCCTCGGGTTCAAGGGCTTAGGGGTTTAGGGGTTTAAGGGTTTGGGGGTGGTTTAGGGTTTAGGGGTGTGCTCGACGAGGTCACTGATAAGCGCGCAGTTGAGCGAAGATAGGACCACCCCAAGACCACCCAAACACGACCCAAAACGAATCTAAACCGGAGACAGCCAAAGCCAAGCCAGCCAAGCAAAATTCCCACATCGACTATCTTCAGGGCAGGATTGCATCCAAGTACAGAACAATTTTTGCGTGAAGGTAAATTTAAGGTTTCCGTTGGGGAATTTCAAACCCGAATTGTTGCCTGATGGAAGATTATCGGGTCTAGAATCGTGTCCGAGTAGTGTCTATGGAAATCTGGAAAACATCTAAGGTTTCCGTTTGGGGGGGGGGGGGGGTATGTAGGCCGAAGGCATGTAAGTGTATCCGAGTTACAATTTACCGGATATCAAGCTTAAGGCATGCGTTGCAGTGTCGATGCCGAAGGGCGATTCTCATCGTCAACATTCGGATCGCGTAGCAACTCTAACTGTGTCCGAGTACCCCTAAACCCGACACCCTATTTGGACCCACCAAAACCATAAAGGATTGGTTCGTTTTTTCTTTCCACACCTGCTTACGCAGGCGGATTTGCCCCCGATTCACTTCATATTCTAGCATGTTCAGATGATTCGGATATTTCCGGATTTCCCCGTCTCTTCTCAATTCGTTTCCTATCCCATCATTTCCGGCTTCGTCTTGCGGACATTTTCGGATGTCCCGTCTTCGCGTCCCGTTTTGCCGCAAGCAGCTTGAGCCAGGCCCCTTTCTTTAAGACTGAAACCTAACGAAATGTGCCGTTGGGAATAAGGCTATTCCTTAGGAAAACCATCCGACCCAACTAGAATTCCAGACAAAATCATGTTTTTTCCACCACATAAGACAATAATGTTTTTTCAAGGGTTGAAGGTGTAGGTAGGGTGTTTAGGGAGCTTGGGGTATTTAGGGTTTTTTTAAGGTCGTCAGGGTTTTAGGGATTTTGAGGTGTTTCGGGTGTTTTAGGGTGTTTAGGTGGATTAGGTTTCGGCTTTAGGGGTTAGGGTTTGTAGGGTTTAGGTGTTTAGGGTGCTTATGGTGTTTAGGGTTTTAGGTTTGGGGGGTTGAAGGTTTTCAGAAAGACAGGGTCTCACTCTAACCACAGAAGTGGACGACAATTAGGGTTTAGGGTATTTACGGTGTTTGGGGTTTAGGGTTGAGGCTTTTGGGTTTGTAGAGGGGTTTGAAACAACTGAAAACACAGTGTCCTGTATTCACATGAGGATACTCCTTTGATTTACCATGTTTGTTCAAGGGCTTAAGGTTTAGGTCTTAGGGTTCTTGGGGACTAGGATGCTTAGGGTTCAGGGTTTGACGGCCGTGAGTTAAGGGTTTCATGCAGGAGTAAGGCTTCAGGGATCAGAGCGTTTTAGGGTTTAGGGTTTAGGGTTTAGGGTTTAGGGTTTAGGGTTTAGGGTTTAGGGTTTAGGGTTTAGGGTTTAGGGATCAGAGGCGGGTACCTCGCCAGCTTTGCGCGCTTCCTCGATCGCCTCCTTCAGCTTGTCTTGCGCATCCTGGCGTGGGGGCTTGGGGTTTTGGGTTTTAGGGTTTAGGGTTTAGGGTTTAGGGTTTAGGTTTAGGGTTTAGGGTTTAGGGTTTAGGGTGTAGGGTTCAGGTTTTAGGGTTTAGGGTTTAGGGTTTAGAGTTTAGGGTTTAGGGTTTAGGGCTAAGGGGGCTTAGGATGCTAAACCCTATACACCCTGAATAAACCTCCAAACCCCTACATATTTGGAGCTTAGGATTTGGGGTTCCGGGCTGCGCTACAAGGGTTTAGGGTTTAGGGTCCTGCATAGCCCGCAGAGCAGCGCAAAAGGTACATCATCCCTGTTTGACAGCCGTTGCATCTTCCGAGTCTCAATGTGGATGCGGTCTAAGATCTGCACGGCGTGGATTGGTTTTGGAAGTTTGTAATGGCGACGTTCTCTCATGCAACCCCAAACCCCAATACCCAAACCCTAAACACTACACCCGAAAGCCTAAACCCTGAACCAAAACCCTAAACCCTAAACCCAAAAGCCTAAACCCGAAACCCTAAACCCTAAACCCTAAACCCTAATAGTCTGGATCTCTGCTGCGGCTGCCATGCCCCTGACTTCCGCTGTGACATTGTGACATCTATGGCCACCGGATGGCAGGGTCTAGGGTTTAGGGTTTAGGGTTTAGGGCAGGGGCCGGGTTTAGGGTTTAGGGTTTAGGGTGTAGGGTTTAGGGATACAGCAGTCATTTTCATGCTGAGGGCAGGTGGGTGTGGTTAAGGCCGGGGTTTGTACAGGATCCCACGCTAAAAGCATTAGGCCCACGTTCCCAAAATCCGAAGCAAGCCCTTGTGTACCCTAAACCCTAAACCCCAAACCCTAAACCCTAAACCTAAACCCTAAACCCTAAACCCTAAACCCTAAACCCTAAACCCTAAACCCTAAACCCTAAACCCTAAACCCTAAACCCTAAACCCTAAACCCTAAACCCTATGCGGTCTCGGAGAACCCACCCAGGGCGCCTGCGCGGCCTTCTGCTCACTGTCCAGGCGAGCTTCGAGCTTGGCCTGGTGGGCCTGCTTAGGGCTTCGGGCCGTAAACCCTAAAACCCTAACCCTAAACCCTCAACCCTAAACCCGAAATAAACCCTAAACCCTAGACCCTAGACCCTAGACCCGAGACCCTAAACCCTAAACCCTAAACCCTAAACCCTAAACCCTAAACCCTAAACCCTAAACCCTAGACCCTAGACCCTAAACCCTAAACCCTAAACCCTAAACCCTACTCTAGGGGTTCAGGGCTCTCCTGGCCTCTGCTGCCTCTTGCTGCGACTGGAACTTGCCGGCCATCTCTTGGGTGAGCTCCTGAAGGGTTCAGGGTTTGGGGGGCTTAGGGTTTAGGGTTTAGGGTTTAGGGTTTAGGGTTTAGGGTTTAGGGCTTAGGGTTTCGGGTTTAGGGTTTAGGGTTTGGGGTGTGGGGTTTAGGGGGTTAAAAGGTGGGGGTAGCCAAGAGCAACCTAGGAATAAACAGGGTGCCCCTTTTTAGTTTAGAGGGCTTGGAAGGGAACCCGAACCCTGACAGAAAGGGGGAATAAAGGCAAAGGTGGGGTACCAAGGGTTTAGGGTTTAGGGTTGGGGTTAGAAAAGCAAACTCAGGGGCTCTAGGCTTGAGGTTTTCTTTAACCCATCGACCCTCAACCCTCAACCCTAAACCCTAAACCCTAAACCCTACACCCTGAACCCTACGCAAAACCTTGGAACCTGTACTCCTAAACCCTAAGATATGAACCCAGGACCCCAAGCTTTCAAAAACCCTAAACCCTAAACCCTAAACCCTAAACCCTAAAGAGCTGCAGCTTTCATTCCTTGAGCTTCTCGGCCATGGCCAGTTGCTCCCCACCCTGGCAGCATGACCACAGCTTCTGTTTGCTCTGTAGGGTTTAGGGTTTAGGGTTTAGGGTTTAGGGTTTAGGGTTTAGGGTTTAGGGTTTAGGGTTTAGGGTTTAGGGTTTAGGGTTTAGGGTTTAGGGTTTAGGGCTTCCGGTTTGGGGCTTGGGGTTTACTGTAAGGTTTAAGGCTTAGGGTTTAGAGTTTCCTGGTGAAGCTACTGTTCATGGTACTCACTAACCAGTTATAACTGTACTTATAACCCACTTATAAGCCCCTTAAGTGCCCTGATATGGCTATAAGTACAGATATAATTGGGTAAGAAGTACCATGAACCTCCAAATATGCGGTCTGCAAGTTTGAGGCCGGAATGCTGTTAGCTCTTGAACGAAGCTACCACAACAATAACAAGGAAACCGAATGGCTTTAGGGTTTTAGGGTTTAGGGTTTAGGGTTTAGGGTTTAGGGTTTAGGGTTTAGGGTTTATGATTTACTGGGTACTTATTCTATGATAACTTGATCCAAGCTCCATGACAGAAACCGAGAAAAGCTCAAGTACCCTTGCTTGGCATTTGGGAATTCAGGGAGGGGGAATCCTTGGCGCAGTATGTGGGGGGGAAGGGGGGATGGTTGAAGTTTACACCCTATATAAACCCTCAACCCTAAACCCAAAACCCAAAACCCTAAACCCTAAACCCAAAAAGCAGCCAGCACTCGCCTGTTTCGCCTGCTGCGCGGCAAGCCCCTCGGCGGTGCGAGTCAGCGACTCCTCCGCGGTGCTGGCGCGCGTGCTCTCCTGAAATTCAGAGGGGCTGTGAACGCCGATGCTAGGGTTTGGGGTTTGGGGTTTGGGGTTTAGGGTCTCGGGTTTGGGGTTTAGGGTTTGGGGTTTGGGGTTTGGGGTCTAGGGTGCCTAAGCTACACCCGCCCGGAGCCGTTTGGGGGAGAACATGAGGAACCTTAGGGTCGGGTGGGGTCTATACCACATAGTATACGGACCACACGGGGCACATGCAAACCCTACACCCTAACCCCAAGGGTCCATGTACCGAAATAGGGAATACTTGGGCCATAAAGTACCTCCTATTTTGGGACTTTCGGTCCCAAGTACAGAATCTTGAGGTACATGGACCCTGAGGGTAATATTTAAGTCTTCAGGAAAACGAGAAAAAGTAGGCTTGGAAGGCTTAACATTCCTCGTCCCGGACAAGTGGCAGCAGAATAGGAAATAAGTTTCTTTTCGCCCTGAGGGTTAAGGGTCTTGGGTTTAGAGTTCAGGGCTAAGGCCTTCATCCCCAAAAGAACCAAGCTAGGGTTTAGGGTTTAGGGTTTAGGGTTTAGGGTTTAGGGTTTAGGGTTTAGGGTTTAGGGTTTAGGGTTTAGGGTTTAGGGTTTAGGGTTTAGGGTTTAGGGTTTAGGGTTTAGGGTTTAGGGTTTAGGGTTTAGGGTTAGACCCGAAACCCTAAACCCTAGAACCCTAAAACCCTACACCCGAAACTCTTCGACCTCTAGCTTTCCCTGCAGCCTGCGCCCCTAAACCCTAAACTCACAACCCTAGCTCCTGAACCCTAAGCACTACCGCACTAGATCCCAAATCCGCAAACCTGAAGCCCCACACCCTAGGCAACTGAATCCTAATCCCTACACCCTACACCATGAAACCCTACAGCCTAAACCCTTAAACCTTGCACCCTAAACCCTTAAATCCCTGCCCCCTGAAACCTACACCCCAAACCCCTGAATCCTTAAACTCAAAACCTTATACCCTACTTAAACCCCCAAACCCTAAACCCCAAACCCTAAACCCGACACGCCAAACCCTAAACCCTACACCCCAAACCCTAAACCCTAAACCTTAAACCCCAAACCCTAAACCTTAACCCCCAAACCCCAAACCCTAAACCTCAAACCCTAAACCTTAAACCCCAAACCCTAAACCCTAAACCCATGAACCCCAAACCCCAAACCCTGCGTGCTCGAAGTGTTTTCCCGCCTGCGCCAGGAGCTCCTCTAGCGCCGACGCACGGGTGTCGGCAGCCTCCACACCGGCCTTCGCAGTTTAGGGTTTAGGGTTTAGGGTTTAGTGTTTAGGGTTTAATGTTTAGGGTTTAGGGTTTAAGGTTTAGGGTTTAGGGTTTAGGGTTGGGGCTTCGGGCTCAGGGTTTCGTAGCCGGTGTGATGGGGCGATAGCCTGGTAGAAAGTGATCCCTGAGTCCACCCAACCTGAAACCCCTGCACCTCGAAACCCCTGAGCCCTCGACCGGTTTAGGGTTTAGGGATTAGGTTTGCGGGTTTAGGGTTTAGGGTTTAGGGTTTAGGGCTTAGGGCTTAGGGCTTAGGGTTTATGTGTCACTTCACACCCTAAACCCTAAACTCTAAACCCTCAACCCTGGGGCCCAGGCTTCTCAAACTGCCATGCCTCAGAGCTTTTTGTTGTACCCTATCTCTATGGTCTGGGCTCTTTTCATAAGACAAAATTTGCCTGCATAGTTAAGGCATAAAACCTAAACCCCAAACCCAGAATTACCCTAAATACCCTAAATATCCGCAATACCCTAAAAACCCCTGAAGATCTTGAACTTCCAGCAAAAAAACCAAACCCGAAACACCCTAAGCCCGAAATACCTAAATACCCTAAAAACACGAAACCCCCGAAGCCCTAAACCCTAAACCCTAAACCCTAAAACGCCCAAAAGACCCTAAAAGCCCGGAGCACTAAAAGCCGGGCGCCCGCCTGTGCTGCCGCCACGGCCTTCTGCAGGTCACTCTCTGCGACCTTACTCTCCTCGTGTGCAATGTGGGGGTTGAGGGTTTAGGGTTTAGGGTTTAGGGTCTAGGGTCTAGGGTTTAGGGTTTGCTTTTTGTTCAGGGCGTATGGGGCTTTAGGATTTCTAGGGTTCAGGGTCGGTATGGCTTATAGGGTTTTCATAGGGATTCTGTTGCAGGTCTCATGGGTGTTTTTTGGGTTTATAGGCTTCATGGAGTTGATAGTGTTTACAAGCTTCGCAAGGTTTTGGGATGGGAGTTTCCATACATGGGGGATGCCCTGTAGAACAAGGATCGGAGTATGTTGGGGTATATATGGGGGGGGGGGTTTAGGGTTTATAGGGTTTAGGGTTAGGGTTTAGGGTTTAGGGTTTAGGGTTTAGGGTTTAGGGTTTAGGGTTTAGGGTTTAGGGTTTAGGGTTTAGGGTTTAGGGTTTAGGGTTTAGGTTTAAGGGTTTAGGGTTTAGGGTTTAGGGTTTAGGGTTTAGGGTTTAGGGTTTAGGGTTTAGGGTTTAGGGTTTAGGGTTTAGGGTTTAGGGTTTAAGGAGCCTAAACGTTAAACTCTTAGGAAGGGTTTTGAAGTCAGCAAAGTGCCAAGTCCAGTTCGGGAGAAGGGTTTGGACTGTCTCATGGGTTCCCCGACTACCCCCCGTCTATACTACTTTGGGATTTAGGGTTTAGGGGTCTAGGGTTTAGGGTTTAGGGCTACTACCCCCCCTAGTTGAGGGGTGCCCAAATCTTGGGAGCCACAGAAGGGCCATTGGCTTACGTAGCAATATTCAGGGACCTATGCAATTGGCATACAAAATCTGGGACAGTGTGAACAAACCCTAGACCCTAAACCCGAAACCCTAAACCCTATACCCCAAACCCTAAACCCTAAACCCCAAACCCTAAGCCCTAAACCCTAAACCCTAAACCTTATAAGCCCTAAACCCTAAACCCCAAACCCGAAGCCCTAAACCCTAAACCTTACAAGCCCTAGGCCCTGGAGGGCTCACCCGATTTCTCAAGAGCGCCACCCCTCACAGTATAGCAGGGGCACCACTTCGCCTTTTGGGTGTGCTGTGCGTGACGCGATTTTTTGGGTTTAGGGTTTAGTTTTTTTTTGGGTTTAGGGTTTAGTTTTTTTTGGGTTTAGGGTTTAGTTTACTTTTTTTCTGTATTTTTTTTTTGGGGGGGAAGGGAGGGAAGGGGAAGGCCGAGAGTTCAGGTCAGGTCCAAAAAGCCATCCTCTGTTAAGGTTTGTTGCTCAAGGGTTCAGATGCCCGGCCCCCAAAAATATTCTTTCTAAGCCACTTCATGATCATCCAAGGGTTTAGGGTCTAGATGCAGGAGTAACCCAGGAATGAAAAAGGTAAAGAATGGTCCTAGTAGCCCTAAACCCTAAACCCTAAACCCTAAACCCTAAAACCTAAACCCTGAACCCTAAACCCCAAACCCTAAACAAAGGGGATAAGGGTCTTCTCTGGGGTTTGGGATTCGGGCTAAGGGTCGTCGATCTTCGCTCCAAGCTCGCCGATGTTCGCCTGAAGGTTGCCTCAAGTCCCGATTCTAACGGCCGGGGGTTCAAGGTTTCGGGTTGGGTTTCGGGTTTAGGGTTTAGGGTTTAGGGTTTCGGGTTTAGGGTTTAGGGTTAAGGGTTAGGGTTTAGGGTTTAGGGTTTAGGGCTTAGGGCTTAGGGCTTAGGGTTTAGGGTTTAGGGTTTAACGTTTAGCGTTTAGGGTTTAGGGTCCTGTGATCCTTGCTGACTACTGATGTTGCCAAGTGCCTCGGACGTGGGGGTTCCGTAGTTGATTGGTGGAATCATTCCGCCAGCTCTTCCACAACAGCTGTGGCAAAAGACGGCGCTCCACGAAAGTGCGGCCAAAAGACGCTTGAGGCTGCCGAGGATTGGCTGCCAAGGTGCGACCATAGGGTTGACAGAGGAGTCATGGCCCTAAACCCTAAACCCTAAACCCTGAACCCTAAACCCTAAACCCTAAGGATCGTCTGTGACATAGGACAGGGCAAGGCCTTCCCTGCTTCAGAGGGTGGCGCGAGGGTTTAGGGTTGCGGCTGAAAGATTCGGGCTTAAACCCTAAACCCTAAACCCGAACTTTCGGACGGTTCAGGAAATGGGTGGGTGTGATGTTTCAGGTCTGGTTTAGGGTTTAGGGTTCAGGGTTTGGGGCTTGGGGTTTGGGATTTGGGGTTTGGGATTTGGGATTTGGGACTTGGGGTTTGAGGTTTGGGGCTTGGGGTGTAGGGTTTAGGGTTTGGGGTTCTAGTTGCAGTACGAGGGTTTGGTCACGGGCTTCATCGGGGAATGTACGCGTGAGCCCGAAAACCCCCAAACCCAAATAGACCCCAAAGCAAGGATCACGGCCTTGTGGATTTCACCAAGGAAACTATGCGCAAGCAGTTACGGAGCTCGCCTGCATGATGTCTCCCTAAACCCTAAACCTTATAAACCCGAAACCCTGAACCCTAAACCCTAAACCCTAAACCTAAACCCTAAACCCTAAACCCTAGTTCAGGGTGTAGGTTTGAGGGTTTAGGGTTTGGCGCTACGGCTAGGATCAAGGGGGGTGCCTTCCTCTTCCCTTCTGGAACAAGGAACCCCCCACTTCTGCACCCCAGTGGCCGAAATCCCGAAAACCCACAAACCCTAAACCCTAAACCCTAAACCCTAAACCCTAAACCCTAAACCCTAAACCCTAAACCCTAAACCCTAACCCTAAACCCTAAACCCTAAACCCTAAACCCTAGACCCTAAACCCTAAACCCTAAACCCTCTGCACCCCAGTGGCCGAACATCTCATCCTGGGCAAGCTTCGACTCGGCCTGAGCCTGCGGGAGTAAAAAGCGTGGGTGGTGGAAGCCTGGGGTTGAGGGTGGAGGGTTTAGGGCTTAGGGCTTAGGGCTTAGGGCTGAGGGCTTAGGGCTTAGGGCTTAGGGCTTAGGTAGGGTTTAGGGTTTAGGGTTTAGGGTTTAGGGTTTAGGTCTAGGGTTTAGGGTTTAGGGTTTAGGGTTTAGGGTTTAGGGTTTAGGGTTTAGGGTTTAGGGTTTAGGGTTTAGGGTTCAGGGTTCAGGGTTTAGGGTTTAGGGTTTAGGGTTTAGGGTTTAAGATTTAGGGTTTAGGGTTTAGGGTTTAGGTGTTAGGGTTGAGGGTTGAGGGTTTAGGGTCTCGGGTTTAGGGCTATAGGGCTTGCCCCCACCATGGCATCCCTGGCATTAGTTCAGCGTGTCCAGGTTCAGGCTTGCGGGCTTCAGGGAGGGTGGTCCTTTTTGTCGACAAATAAACAGATCCCTATTCCCTAGTTCCTTCACGAGAACCCTTTAAAGAAGGTACCTTAACACCCAGGCTTCAGGGACCCCATTTAGGGACCCTAAACCCCAAACCCCAAACCCCAAACCCTAAACCCCAAACCCCAAACCCTAAACCCTAAACCCCAAACCCTAAACCCTAAACCCTAAACAGGGTTTTAGGGGCTGCCTTGGGATCTCCCCTCCGGGCGTCACAGATCTGAAAGGAGCTTCAGGGTCTGGATCTTCAGGGTTTCAAGGTGGCTTCGAGTTACCTTAGAGGGGGGGAGGGGGGTCCATAGGGTTTAGGGTCTAGCGTTTAGGCTTTAAGGTTTACCTAATTTCTTGATTCCCTACTAGAACTAGCAAGACACAGGGGCAGTTCTCACCACAATCCAAACCTGAAACCCTAACCTCTACCAACCCCTAAACCCCACACAGCCTAAATATGGCGCCTCTGACGCAAGCAGATCATATTTCTGATCACCATGTTCAGGTTACCATGCTGAGTGTTGAAGTCAGAGTAGTCAAACAGCCTCGAGGCATAACCTCCATTCACTGGGCGAGCTCGTAGAGAATGTCTCGCCCACTCCCCTGCCAAGTCTGTGGGGTAGTCACTTCCACCATCCCTCTCCAAATTGATCTCTGCAATGTCCAGCACCATGCTATGAATCACACAGTGCAGAACGTCACTCGCAAGCAGGAGTCGTGCTGTGCCATCTTCGTGTTTCTCGCTTGCTGCTGAGAGCAGAGCGGCTGCAAGAGTGTATTCTATGGCCTGCCAGAGCAGTTCTTCCACTGCACCACGCTTGGTCAAGTGGACTGAAGCTCGGGGGAGTCACACTCGGACCCCTAGGGATGGGCACCTAAGCGGTTCCCTTGATATGCTCCTAATATGGCCCTTTACATGCCCGCAGAGGAACTTGAAAAGGGGTCCCCAAACTTTTGGGTACAACCTTAGGGGTTCAAGGAGAAATCCCATGAGAAGCCGGCGCAGCAAACCCCTAAATCCCAAAACACGCTTCGGGCCTAAGGGTGTACGTGTGGCTTGAGGAAGCTTTTGGGGCCCTTAGGAAGCAGTTAGGGGTGGGTTTAAGGGGTCACCTTCGGGATCCCTAAAATTGGAACCCCTCTCAAGGTACATGGACCATGAACCCCAATTAAAGCCTAAACCCTAAGCCCCCGAAACCTAATCCCTTTTAAGGGTTCATTTCGTCCCAGGTAGGGTTCAGGGTGAAAAGTTTCGGCGAGTGCGCTCTTCGCTCTTCGCTCTCACGTAGGGGTTTAAGGTGTAATTAGGGTTTAGGGGTTTAGGGTTTAGGGGTGTAGGGTTTCGGGTGGGTATTACGGCCTACCGGAAGCCCGAACCCTAGACCCCAAATCCGAAATCCTTCAGCTGCAGCATCAGCACCATAGATTCCCAACTTCCCTCTAAACCCTAAACCCTAAACCCCAAACCCCAAACCCTAAACCCTAAATCCTAAGTACGCCCTAAGTCTAAGTCTGGCAAAGCCACCCTCTGCCCAGTTTTTTGTAGGCCTACAGTTTAGGCAGTAGGCTCTGGCGAGCTTGAGAAGGCAAAACATAGGTGGGCCAATGCCAATGGGCCCTGAACTCATCCGACTGGCTCGTGAGACTAAAGGGTTTGGGTTCAGGGTTTAGGGTTTAGGGTTTAGGGTATAGGGTTCAGGGTTCAGGGTTCAGGGTTCAGGGTTTAGGACTAGGGTTTAGGGCTTAGAGTTCACGGTTTACGGTCACGGGTCTAGCGTTTTCGGATCATTTACGCATGGCATGGGGCCTCGCCCATGTCTTCGCACCGGCGCAGGACCTCCGCCTCAATTGACTGCACGTCGTCCTGGTGACTGGAGCGCTTTTTTGTGAACTGTGACCAAGACGTAGGTTTTACAGCCCAACCCTAAACCAACCCAACTAAACCCTAAACCCTAAACCCTAAACCCTAAACCCTAAACCCTGAACGGAAACCCTAGACCCTAAACCCTCAACCCTAAACCAACCCAACCCTAAAACCTAAACCCTAAACCCTGAACCCTATTAAACCCTGAACCCTAAGCAAAGCCTGTGAACTCCAAGAAATGAACTTCGGACCTTACGAAGACGATGCTGATTCTTGCAAGCACTTCATTATAGGGTTCTTAAGGGAAGGGGGTCAAGGGTTTAGGGTTTGGTGCTGTTTCATCACGACGGCGCTGGCACTCGCCGCGGCAGGCAAAAAGCTTGATCGCGAAGACTAGACCTTGTCCTCTCAGCACTCCGTGTTTGTCCAGGCAGCGCCTTCTGCAGTTCAGATTTGACGCCGGCGAGTTGCCAGTCGCTTAGCACGGACGCCATGGCCACGAGTCATAAACAAAATAATAGGTGCATGCCCAGCGCAGGTCTTGTCCGATGTTATCAGGTCTTGCCATTCAGATCTTAAGTTTTAAAGTAAGGGTTTTAGGGTTTAGGGTTTAGGGTTTAGGGGTATGCAACCCAAGGTTGCCGAATACTCCCCACTACTCCCTAAGGCTCCCGAAGCTTCCCGAAGGTTGCCTTGGTACCTGCCCCCCCCCATGAACCCCCCTCCCTTAGGAACCCTATAGCTCTAGAAAGATTGCAGAGTTTGGGTTCAGATCTGCAGCCTTGGTTTGAGCTGTCAGGGTTCGAGGTTTTGGGGCTTAAGTTAAGGGCGAAGAAGGGTTTGGTTTTCGGGAAACTCACCCAAACCACCCTAAACCTGAAACCCTAAACCTTTATCCCTAAAACCCTACCCTAAACCCTAAACCCTAAACCCTAAACCCTAAACCCTAAACCCTAAAACCCTGAACCCTAAACCCAGAGACACCCAGACCTTGAAGCCTTCAAGCCGTAGTCCGCAGAACTCACACGTTCGAACCCCGGTCCTGCACCTGTCCGAAGCGCTCCACCAGCCTGCCAGGGCGCTCTCAAGAAGGGTTTAGGGTTTAGGCTTTGGGGTTTAGGGTTTAGGGTTTAGGGTTTAGGGTTTAGGGTTTAGGGTTTAGGGTTTAGGGTTCGGTGTGCAGGGTCCAGGGATTTGGGTGGGGATTTCGAAGCCGGCCTTTGTAGGCTGTTTTGGTTACCCCCCAGTCCCCATCATGTGGGCCTGTGACTACTACTCGTCTCAACCTGACTGTTCTCAAGAAGGGTTTAGGGTTTAGGGTTTAGGGTTTAGGGCTTAAGTTAAGCCCAACCGTCGAAGTGGCTTGCTAGGTGTGTGGTATAAGGAAACTGCGCAACCTCACACGAAACCATGAACATCAAACCCTAAACTTCAGCACTGCCGCTCTAAACCTTACATGCAAACCCTGAAGCCTACACCTGAACACCCTAAACCCGAAAACCCTGAACGTCAAACCCTTAACACCAAACCCTAATCCCTGAACCCTGAACCCTGAACCCGCAACCCTAAACCCTAAACACTAACCCTGAACCCTAAACCCTAAACCCTAAACCCTGAAACCTAAACCCTAAACCCTAAACCCTAAACCCTAAACCCTAAACCCTGAACCCTGAACCCATGCGACCGACTGGCTTCCCAGTCTCCGCCGACAACGCGTCTCGGAGGTTCTCCATCGCCTCCTGGAATTTGGTTTGGGGCTTGGGGCTTGGGGCTTGGGGCTTGGGGCTTGGGGCTTGGGGCTTGGGGGGGCTTGGGGCTTGGGGCGTGGGGATTGGGGCTTGGGGCTTGGGGCTGGGGCTGGGGCTTGGGGATTGGGGCTGGGCTTGGGGCTTGGGGCTTGGGGCTGGGGCTTGGGGCTTGGGCTTGGGGCTTGGGGCTTGGGGCTGGGGGGGGATTGGGGCTTGGGGCTTGGGGCTTGGGGCTTGGGGCTTGGGGTTTGGGGTTTGGGATTTGGGGTTTGGGGTTTGGGGCTTGGGGCTTGGGGCTTGGGGTTTAGGGTTTTGGCTTGAGAGTTTGGGGTTTAGGGTTCAGGATTTGGTGGTTAGGGCTTAGGGTTTAGGGCTTGGGATTGAGGGCTTGGGGCTTAGGGATTTGGAGTTGAGGGTTTTTGGAGTTTAGGATTTGGGGTTTAGGGCTTTGGGGTTCAGGGTGGGTGCGCCGGCGGCATGTTGGATGGTTTTGGGGGAGGGAACCCTCCCCCCCCCTCCCTTCAACACAAAGCAAAGGGAGGAGGGGGGTGAGGGGTGTGCACAATTTTCACAAAACCCCTAAACCCCCACCCCCCCCCCCCCGCCCGGGCCAACCCCCCCCCCCCCCACCCCCACCCCCCCAACCCCACCCCACCCAACCCCCACCCCCACCCCCCCCCCCCCCCCCCCCACACGCCCCCCCAAAACTTCCGACCACGCCCCACCCCCACCCCCACTCCCGTTTAGGGTTTCGGTTTACAGCTTGGGGTTCAGGGGCTACACTTTTCTCGAAGCCCTATCCCTAAACCCTAAACCCTAAACCCCAAAACCCCCTGAACCCAACAAAGCACTTCCAACCAAGATTTCCTGGCTCGCTGCGACCACGTCGTCCAGCTTCGCTGACAGCTGCGCATCCACATCCCCGAGGGCCCTCGGGCTGTCGGGCTCTCAAGGTTTTCAGGGTTTAGGGTTTAGGGCTTGGGGTTTAGGGTTTAGGGTTTAGGGTTTAGGGTTTAGGTGTAGGGCTTCCTACTGCCCCGAAGCCTTAACCCGTCTATGGGGTTAACGCCTAAACCCTGAACCCTAAACCCTAAACCCTGAAGCCTAAAGCCCAAAGCCCAAAGCCCAAAGCCCAAAGCCCAAAGCCCAAAGCCCAAAGCCTCTATGGGGTTTTCGGGGTTGAAGGCTTAGGACCCCCCAGTCCTCCCCCCCTCCCACCCCCGGTGTATGTTTGGGGGTTTAGGCTTTGGGTCCAGGATCCGGGTCCAGGGAGACAAGGGTTTAGGGTTAAGGGTTTAGGGTTAAGGGTTTAGGGTTTCGGGTTTAGGGTTTAGGGTTTAGGGTTCAGGGAGACAAGGGCTCAGGACTTGGTCAGTTTAGGAGAGCTCCGCATTGGCTTAGGGGACCTGTAACAAGCGGAAGCCCAAACCCGAAACTCGAATTCCCTAGTTCCATACCCTAAACCCTAAACCCTAAACCCTAAACCCGAAACCCTAAACCCTAAACCCTAAACCTGAAAATCCCTGAACCTTGAAGCCCCCCCATACTATCAATCCCACGCCCGCAGAGAACCCTGGAGACAGAAAACCCCAAAATTGGGGGTCATACACCCTATACTACTATCATTCCTATTAGGGTATATGAGCCCTAAACCCTAAACCCTAAACCCCAAACCCCAAACCCTAAACCCTTTGGGCGCAGCCGAAGCTCTGGGTGCGAGCCGTGAAGGCCATCTCCAACGTGGCGATGCGGCTCTCGATGGCCGCGTGGCCTTCCTTCACCTGCGAACCAGAAAACCCCAAAAGGGTTTGGGGGTTAGGGTTTAGGTTTTAGGACTTGGGGTTTAGGGTTGAGGGTTTAGGGTTCAGGGCTAACCCTCAAACCCTAAAGCCCAGATCCCGGACTACCCCAAAACCCTAAGGGTGCCGTAGGGTTGCCGCCCCACCCCCCCCCCCCCCAGCCTTATCCCTAAACCCTAAACCCTAAACCCTAAACCCTAAACCCTAAACCCTAAAGCCTAAAGCCTAAACCCTAAACCCTAACGACCCAAAATGACATTCAAGGGAGGCATGCCCAGGCCTTATTCTGGGTTTAGGGTTTAGGGCTTAGGGTATATGGTTTAGGGTTTGGGACCTTGTTGGACTCGTCGTCGATGAGCTTGAGAATCTCGCCATTCATCTTGTCGAGCTCGTCACTGACTTTCGCGACGTCGTCCGTCAGCCTGGGATTACTTGGAGGTTCATGGTACTTATGGGTTTAAGGTTTAGGGTTTGGGGCTTAGGGGTACTTATTAACCAATTAGAACAGTGCTTATAACCCACTTGTAAGCCCGTTAGGTGCCCTAATATGGCTATAATTACAGTTAGAAGCAGCCTGGCATTACGATACTGAACTTGGAAACCCTAGCAAAAATTATAATTTTAGCTATTTCTTGGGAGCTAAAGTACCCCCGACATTAAGATTTTACACAAAAAACAGGAAGTATTTCCAAATATCCCTAGGACTAGTCATTGACCACTGATCTCTGAACCTCTAGACACGTGGGGGTGCGAAAACCAGGGACCCCTAGGATAGACTGCAAAGAGTAGGGGTTCCTAAAAATAAGGGTATAGGGTTTAGGGTTTAGGGTTTAAGGTGTAAGGTTTAGGGTGACCCCAATAAGGTACCCGTACTTTCGTCCCTCATGTGCTTGTTGTCCCTCAAACTAAAACTATCTCAAGCCCAAGCCCTATACCCTAAAAGGGCTTCAGGTTTGACTTGCTGTCAACCTTGTATTGTGGGGTTCCTAAGAAGGTAAGAAAGGGGCTTCAAGGTACCCAGGGATTCTTAGGGAGTAGTGAGGTTTAATTAGGGGATGGAGGGTTCAAGGCCGGAGGCATCAAGCTGTGATGTGCAAGCTGAGCCGAAATAGACTCACTCCACAGGATTGGTTTCAGGGTTTGGGGTACATAGGGTTTGGGGTTTAGGGTTTAGGGTTTAGGGCTAGAGGTTTAGGGTTTAGGGTTCTTGTTGCATGGTGGGTAAACGCAACGAATGAAGGAATAGACCATTGACTAGGGATTTACAACTGCGGGGGAGGGGGGGGGGGGGGGGGGGGGGGGGGGGGGGGGAGGGGGGGGGGGGGGGGGGGGGGGGGGGGGGGGGAGGGGGGGGAGGGGGAGGGGGGGGGGAGGGGGGGGGGGGGAGGGAGGGGGGGGAGGGGGGGGGGGGCGGGGGGGGGGGGGGGGAGGGGGGGGAGGGGGGGGAGGGGGGGCGGGGGGTTAGGGCCTGAAGCTACGCCCCGGAAGAGCCAGGGTTTAGGGTTTAGGGTTTAGGGTGTAGGGTTTAGGGTTCAGGGTTTGCGTTTAGGGTTTGCCAACAATTCCCCCCAAACTCGGCCATCGTGGCTGCGTCTTGTGTTGCTTGAGGGCATCATTGAGCGCCTCAGCCGAAGCAATTTTTCAAGGTTTCGGGCTTAGGGATTTAGGGGTTTGGCGGGGGATTTTGGTACAGGGTTTAGGGTTTAGGGTTTCGGGTTTAGGCTTAGGGTTGGGTTTGTTGCGGGTTTCGGGACATTTAATAGGGGTCTGAGGGTTCAGGGATTTAGGGATTGAGGCGTTCGGCGAGGGGACTTGGTGTGGGGCTTTAGGGCCTCCAGGTTTCGCGTTGAGGGTATCGGCCATCAGGTTGAGCAATCATCACAACCCAACCGCCCAAATATTGCAGCACCAACGGCCGCAAGCCCTGAAGCTTCTAGGGTTTAATTCTGGTTTAGGGTTTAGGGTTTGCAGTTTAGGGTAAACCCCAGCACCCCAACCCCTGAAGGGTTTAGTGCTCAGAGCTCAACCCACAGCCCTCACTGAAGGGACGGCCGCCCAAACCTGAAATGACAGAAAGCCCCAATCAAGTCTGCCCTCCTGAGCGCTATACAACCCACCCACCCCTCCCCAAAAAAAAAACTAAAACCCTCAACCCTAAACCCTAAACCCGAAACCCCTAAGCCCTGTCAACGCTAAGCCCTGAACCATGCTAAATGCTAAACCAAGCTTGGGGCCGATGGGTAGCCCCAAACATCAAATCACTAAAGCTCCAAGCCCCCCAAACCCCAAAGCCCTCAACCCAAAATCCCCAAACCCTATATACCCTCTAAACACCGTAAACCCTACAAGCCCTGTAAACCCTGCAATCACCCCCCCTGCCCCCCACCCCAAACCCTAAACCCTAAAATCCCTAAACCCCCTAAACCCCAAGCCCCTAAAACCCAAAAGCCCTAAACCCCAAATCCCAATACCCCAAAGGCCCTCAACCCTACTTGGAGGTTCATGGTACTTACTAACCAATTATAACTGTACTTATAACTGAACTTATAACCATATTAGGGCACTCAAGGGGCTTATAAGTAAAGTTATAAGTACAGTTATAATTGGTTAATAAGTACCCCTAAACCCTAAACCCTAACCCTAAACCCTAAACCCCAAACCCCTAAACCCCTAAGTACCATGAACGTCCAAGTAAAGCAAGCTTCCAACCGAAGGGTGCAAGGGAACCAGGGAAACCTACAATCCCTATAAGCCCTACACTACCCCAAACCCCCGCAACCCCAAAAGCCCAAACCCTACAAACCCTATAATAAACCCTATACCCTAAACCCTAAACCCGAAACCCTAAACCCTAAACCCGAAACCCTAAACCCGAAACCCTAAACCCTAAACCCTAAACCCTACCCCTGGCCTCCGTGGCACGCTGCTGCGACGCCGTAAGCCCGGCCGCCGCCACGCTGAGCTGCGCGGCCAAGGCAGCACCTTCGGCCGCCAACCTGGAGGAATTAGGGTTTAGGGTTTAGGGTTTAGGGTTTAGGGTTTAGGGTTTAGGGTTTGTTTAGGGTCCTTCGGCCGCCAACCTGGAGGAGCAGGTCCGGGGTTCGAGAGTTGTTTAGGGTTTCGGGTTTAGGGTTTAGGGTTTTTAGGGTTTTAGGGTTTTTAGGGTTTTTAGGGTTTTAGGGTTTTAGGGTTTTAGGGTTTTAGGGTTTTAGGGTTTTGGGGTTTTAGGGTTTTAGGGTTTTAGGGTTTTTAGGGTTTTTTTAGGGTTTTAGGGTCTTAGGGTTTTTAGGGTTTTTAGGGTTTTTAGGGTTTTAGGTTTTATGAGCTTTTAAGGGGCTTTTGGAGCTTTAGGGTTTCATGGCTTTAGGGTTCTTGGGTTTGGGGGACTTCTGAGGCTTGAGGGCTTAAGGGTGTTAGTTCATTTTTTTGCTGGTGGTGTTGGCCAGTGGGGGGAGGGGGGGGGGGGGGGGGGGGGGGAGGTTGGGCTTTAGGCTGTATGAGTGCTTTATGGTTTTAGGCTTGGGGCTTTGGGGTTTCAATCTTCATGGGGTGAGGGAATTTCAACTTTCTAAGGGCTTAGGGCACATTGGAAAGAGCTTTGGGTGCTTGAACTAATCCTTGGAGAAATTCGAGGCGGAAATTGGGGGCGTGATTGTAAAATTAAGGTTGTTTAAGTCCGCATGTGTGTGTGTGTGCATACACAAATCATGCATGGGGCTTCTTGGGTTGAAGGCCTCTAAAGTCAGGTCCTTGTATTGTTGCCCTTGGGGTGCAGGGTTATTTGCTCATGTGGTGCAAGTGCGTGTGAATATACACGCACGCATATAATGTGTACATATATATATATATATAGACATATATATGTATACAAATATATATATATATATGTGGATATGATATGATACCATATGATTATATATACATATATCAATATCCGTCTGTCTGTACATATGTGTACATATATATATGTATGTATGTGTATGTAATAATCATGATAATAATAATAATAAATAAATAAATAAATAAATAAATAATAAATAAATAAATAAATAATAAAAGAGCGTCATGCCTAATCGAAACCTCTCCCAAAAATTGGCCTGGACCTCAACTCTGAGCCCTAAGGCTCCCTCGCCCATAAATCACATGACAAGGACCCTTCTTCGAGTTTAGGGTTTAGGGTTTAGGGATTAGGGTTTAGGGTTTAGGGTTTGGGTTTAGGGTTTAGGGTTTCGGGTTTAGAAGGCGGGACTTCCTGAAGAATGGCGTAGGGCTTCTTTCGAAAGTAGGGGGTATGGCTCCATTTTCGAATTTAAGCAGGAACATCCTGGAGTATAGGGCAGGGCTCCTTCTTTTGAGTTGCAGGAGGAATGTCCGCAAGTAGGGGGTAGGGTTCCTTTTTCGAACTTAGGGAGGAACAGCCTTAAGTACGGGGTAGTGGTCTGGAATCTGGAAAAAGCAGCCCTAGATGCACCCTAAACCCTAAACCCTAAACCGTAAACCCTGAACCCCAAACCCCCTCGCCTTTGGTCGGTGGCGCGCTGAAGAGCGTCCAGGTTCTCATTGAGCTTCATGCAGTCGCCTTCCGTCGATGTCCAGAGTTTAGGGTTTAGGGTTAGGGTTTAGGGTTTAGGGTTTAGGGTTTAGGGTTTAGGGTTTAGGGTTTAGGGTTTAGGGTTTAGGGTTTAGGGTTTAGGGTTTAGGGGGTTTAGGGTTTAGGGTTAGGGGTTAGGTTTAGGTTTAGGGTTTAGGGTTTAGGGTTTAGGGTTTAGGGCTTAGGGTTTAGGGTTTAGGGTTTAGGGTTTAGGGTTTAGGGTTTAGGGTTTAAGGTGGTTCATTGCTTGTGGGTGGTTTTTCGGCCACAGAAGGTGGAGGGAGGAACCCCACACCCACGGCTGTCGTAGTGGGAGGCCTAGTGTCGGGAATGGCCCTCACCCCTCTCGGCCCCAAACCCTACGCCCTAAACCCTAAACCCTAAACCCTAAACCCTAAACCCTAAACCCTAAACCCTAAACCCTAAACCCTAAACCCTAAACCCTTAACAGCTCCAAAATGGACACTCCGCCCTGAACCCCAAACCTTATGCCTGGAAGGAAGTCTCAGACTCCAAAAGCCCCAAACCCTGAGGTCTAACCCTAAACCCTAAACCCTAAACCCTAAACCCTAAACCCTAAATCCCAAACCCTAAAGCCCTGAATCACCAACAACCCTAAACCCTCCGAAATCAAAACTCAGGGTTCAGAGGTTCAGAGATTTAGGGTCAAGAGGTTTAAGGCTGGGGGCCTGTGGGCCTTCTTGATCACTTCATACCTAAACCTAAACCCTAAACCCTAAACCCTGAACCCTAAACCCCCTCCGTTCCTGACTTCCTTACACGGATCTCAAAACAGGGAAACGGGCTCCCTCTCCCAGACCTCCCTATAAACCCTGAAGCCCCAACGTTTAGGGTTTGTTTAGGGTTTAGGGTTTAGGGTTTAGGGTTCAGGGTTCAGGGTTTAGGGTTTAGGGTTTAGGGTTTAGGGTTTAGGGTTTAGGGTTTAGGGTTTAGGGTTTAGGGTTTAGGGCTGAAAACACATGGGCTTGCGGGGTCTGGGTTCCAAGCTTTTGGGGAAGTTTGCGGCTTCCAGGGCTTTGGGGGTTGTTTTTTGAGGGTCTCGGACTAAGGGCTTAGTTTACGGTCAAGGGCTTAGGGCTTGGGGCTTAGGGCTTTGGGCTTAGGGTTTAGGGTTTAGGGCTTAGGGTTCAGGGCCTGCCAGATTTCCCACATCCTCGGACAAGGAGCTCGTCGCCTGAGAGGCTGCGGTTCAGGGTTTTGGGCTTGGGGCTTAGGGTTTAGGGTTTAGGGTTTGGGGTTTAGGGTTTAGGGTTTAATTAGGGGTTGGGAGGGCCAGGGGTCGGGTGGAGACTGGCGGCAGGAAGTGGACCGAGCTGGGGCTCAGGGGTGAAGGTGTTTATGGCTTAGGGCCCCTCACTAACCACGATCCTAAATCCTAAATCCTAAATTCTAAACCCTAAACCCTAAACCCTAAGCCCTAAACCCTATCTCAACCCTCTACGATCCACCTGCCGCTGCTCCAGCGCGAAGTCCTGGAACTCCTTCTGCAGGTCCTGGTGGTGCTCAGGGTTTAGGGTTTAGGGCTTAGAGCTTAGGGTTTAGGGCCTAGGGTTTAGAGCTCGATTCTTTTGCTTCGTGCCAGGCGGGGCGAGCGAAACCATGTGAAACCCCCAACGCCTAAACCCTAAACCCTAAACCCTCAACCCTAAACCCTAAACCCTAAACCCTAAACCGCCCGGTCAGGCGCCTGCTTGTCCTGGAGTGCTTGTGCTTCGAGCGCCCGTCGCAGGGTCCCCGTCTCAGCCTGTGCAGTGTTGTGGGCATGGGGACAGTTGAGTCCTCGGCCCTAAGCCCCAAACCCTAAGCAATAAAGCCTAAACCCTAAGCAATAAACCCTAAACCCTAAGCAATAAACCCTAAACTCTAAAGCCTAAACCCTAAGCAATAAACCCTAAACCCTCAACCCTCCCTGAACCCTAAGCCCGAAACCCCTACTGTACCCCCCAATACGCGGTTCAAGGCTGAAGGCCCTCAGCACCCCTCAACGGGGGCTTAGGGTTGAGGCGGCATTTCGGAGTTTCGGGCACTGCATGGCGTTGCGAAGGGTCTAGGGTTTAGGGTTTAGGGTTTAGGGTTTAGGGTTTAGGGTTTAGGGTTTAGGGTTTAGGTTTTAGGGTTTAGGGCTTACGGTTGACGGTTTACAGTTCAGGGTCCAAAAGCCACAAACCACAAGAGAACTGTGGAGAGCGTCAGGAAGCCCTGAACACCACCAAGCGGAAAGTGAAATCAAGCTCAAAACATGCAGTCTGTCTTGACGTCAAGCAGAGCCCAAAAGCACAAAATGCAAAAACAAGAAACAAAAAAGATCACATTCAACAACAAAAGGCCCCTAAACCCTAAAGCCTAAATAGCCGAAGCAACAACCTAAGCCCTGACAAAATCCTACTAACCCTAAGCACCCCATAAACCCTGCAAACCCTCTCGACCGTAAACTTTCAAGCCAAAACCCTACACCCTAAACCCCGAATTCGAAAATTTAGACCCTAACCCTTCGTACCCTCAACTTTCAACGCTGAACTGTAAACCCCCAACCCCAAACCCCAAACCCTAAACCCTTAAACCCTAAACTCCTTTCTGAAGACTGGCTCGCTTGGCGGCCTCGGCGCGCTGGCGATGCTCTGCCAACCGCTGAGTGGTGAGGTCCTGCTGGAGGGTGATGAGGGGTTCATAGGGTTCAGGGTTTAGGGTTTAGGGTTTAGGGTTTAGGGATTAGGGTTTAGGGTTCAGGGATAAAGTTTAGGGTTTCCAGGACTGATAGGGCCATGGGGCTTCAGCGTTTCAGGGTTTAAGGCTTCAGGTTTCAGGGTTTCACGGTTTCAGGGTTTAGGGCTGGCAAACAGGGCTTGTGTGCCAAGAGCTCCACCGTTCGCCCCGGCCCCCCTCCCCACAAACCCTGAACCCTAAACCCTAAACCCTAAACCCTAAACCGTGCATCCATCGACACTTCGCAGGCCCGCCCCTGTGTCCTCATGGGCCTGGAGCCGTTTCTGCAGCGAGCCCAGCCGCTCTGATTCAGCCTGTCAAGAGTTCAGTTTGGGGTTTAGGGTTTAGGGTTTAGGGTTTAGGGTTTAGGGTTTGGGGTTTAGGGTTTAGGGTTTAGGGTTTAGGGTTTAGGGTTTAGGGTTTAGGGTTTAGGGTTTAGGGTGTAGGGTTTAGGGTTTTTGGTTTAGGGTTTAGGGTTTAGGGCTTAGGGCTTAGGGTTTAGGAGTGTATAATTTGCTTCACTGCTAGGCTATTCTATAATCCATTCCCCCTAATATGAATACCCCCCTTATATAAAATCCCCCCGGCCCCAAATACCGATCCCGGGTCTGTCCCTATTAAGACCTCTAAAGAGTTAGGGGGGGGATTAGGGGGGGGGGGGGGAGGCCCTAAACCCTAAACCCTAAACCCTAACCCTAAACCCTAAAACCCTCGACCCTAAACCTAACACAAGGCTGCAAGGCTCTGACTGTTTTTGCCGGACTGTCTGTTCCGTGCTTGTCTGGGTCAGGCTTAAGCCCAGGCTTGGCTGCTGAGCCAGCATGCTACAATACGGACGGGCTGGTTTCTCGGACAAACGATAAGAACCCCCCCTAATACTAAAAACCCTTGGGGGGTTTTTATACAAGGGGGGGGGCCTTTTATATTAGGGGGAACGGATTACTATACCATACCATACCATCCTATACTCCCCTTAGAACTATGGGAGCTGATAGCACAACATGCAAAGAGGTGTTTATTTGAAAGGCCTAAGACTTTGTTGGTGTTTGAAGGTTTTCCCGCTTTGGGGGGCCAGAAGCACTTGGAGGTTCATGGGTAGTTACAAGTAGGCTTATAGGTGTGGTAACTATACTTGCAACCTACTTAAGGTATACTTGGAGGTGCGTAATCGGCATTGGCTGGCTTTATGAACAAACCCAGTGTTTGGGGCTTAGGGTTTGGGGCTATAGGATTTAGGGCTTGAGGTTTCGAAACCCAAACCCCCCTCCTCCCTCTGAGGGGGTTTAGGGTTTAGGGGTTTACTGTAGGGTTGAAGGTTTAAGGTTTGGGGTTTAGGGTTTAGGGTTTAGGGTTAGGGTTTAGGGTGAGTTCCATGGGCCCTTAATATGGTCCCTTACCTCCTTTAAAGGGGATTGTGAAGCATGGGCTCTTGGGTTGAATAGGGTATATACTGAGTATGTAAGGGGTCCCCTTTCTTTTAAGGGCTTAGGGTTTAGGGTTTAGGGTTTACGGTTTAGGGTTTAGGGGTATGTAAGGGGTATGTAAGGGGTCCCCTTTTAAGGGCCCATGTTCAGGGACCATGTAACTACCTTTAGAATCCCAAAATGGCCCGTAGGGCATCTCCATGCCACTAAACCCCACCGCCGAAGCATTACCCTCCCCCCCCCCAAAACCTCGAAACACCTGTTGAATGTCCACTCCCTATAGTGCCTACACCCTAGCCCGAAACCCTAAACCCTAAACTCCAAACCCTAAACGCTAAGTAAACCCTCCATGCTGCACCGCCTCAACAAGTGTGGAGTGCATGCTACTGTCGAGTTCGGGCTGCCAGCACCCGTCTCTGGCGCATTCTGATCTGTCCATCACTTGATTCTAGGTGTTTATAGGGTTTAGGGGGTCTTGATCCGCAATCGAAGAGTCTGCAGACATCTCGCAAGAACAAAAATGCCCAAAAACGCTCAATCAAGCCCTGTAATACCCCACACCCCAAACCCTAAACCCGAAACCCCAAACCCTAAACCGACCCTAAACCCTAAACCCTAAACCCTAAACCCTAAACCCCTAGACCCTAAACCCTAAACCCCAAACCCGGCGGGGTGGGGGGTCGCGCGAATTCCGCCCCTGCCTTGATCCGCTCAGAGCGCTCCTCCTCAATGAACGCCTCGATCTGCTCCCGCGTCTTGTTCCTGCTGCTTGGAGGTTCATGGTACTGAGGGTTTAGGGTTTAGGGTTTAGGGTTTGGGGTTTAGGGTTTAGGGTTTAGGGTTTAGGGTTTAGGGTTTAGGGTTTAGGGTTTAGGGTTTAGGGTTTAGGGTTTAGGGTTTAGGGTTTAGGGTTTAGGGGTACTTATTAGCCAACTATAACTGTACCTATCAGCCCCTTAAGTGCCCTAATATACAGTGATAATTGTACTTATAGCTATACTGGTAACCATATTAGGGCACTTAAGGGGCTTATAAGTGGACTATAAGTACAGTTGTAACTGGTTAATAAGTACCATGAACCTCCAAGGATGAGGACTCAGGGATGTTTGGGAATTTAGGCCTCCCGAAGCCAAGCGAAGGCCCAAACGAATTAGGGTTTAGGGTTAGGGTTTAGGGTTGGGGTTTAGGGTTTAGGGATGAGGGTTGAGGGTTGAGGGTTGAGGGTTTAGGGTTTAGGGTTTAGGATTGCATTACACGGCCGAACGCTCAACCTTCACAAACTGCCGGCTGGCTAGGAGGCAACGAAGGAACAGCAATGATAGCCAGTCATAGGAAGCCCTACACCCTAAACCCTAAACCCTAAAAGTCCCAACCGCCCCCCAAAAGCCCCAAAGCCCTTTAAAGCCATTAGCCACATCGAGGGATTGGGGTTCCAAAAAACAAACTGCCGATGGCAAGGCGGTCTCATTGTCATGGCCAGCGTACAGCCACTGCAACTTTCCTGCAGGTAGGAGTTTGGAACTCCTCCCGGGTGGGAGTACAGTTTTGTTTGTCGTGCTCCCCGCGAAAGCACGAAGGCGGAGTGTTGAAGCGCCTTCCTGTACATGTCATGCAGCAGCTTGTCAGGTCGCTCCACTTCTTTTTCCTGTGAGATTAGGGCCTACATACAAACCCTAAACCGTAAACCCCCCCAAACCCCCGAACCCCAAACCTCTAAACCCCCGGAGGCCGTCAACCCTACGTACAAACCCTAAACCCGAACCAAACCTCTAGACCCCTAAACCTCTCAACCCCGAAAGCCCCAAACCTCCAAACCCCTAAACCCCGAAACGCCCATGAAAACCTCAAGCCCCCGGCACATAACAGGGTTGGATGCTTAGGGCTTTTTGGGCTTTAGAGTTTAGGGTATAGGGTTTAGGGTTTCCGGAAAGATCCCTGAAGCCCCAAGCCCCGAACCTTTTGAGCTCTGACCACTTAAGCCCTAAACAAACCCTAAAAAAACCCTTCACCCTAAACCCCAAAGCCTAAACCCCAAACCTTAAACCCTAATTAAACCCTAATTAAACCCCAAACCCTAAACCCTAAACCCTGAACCCCAAACCCCAAACCCCAAACCCTAAACCCTAAACCCTAAACCCTAAAACCCCACAGCAAAGGCCCACAGGGGGCACCTTTCGAGCTCGAGCTGCTCCTCCAACCTTCGCACCAGCCGGTCCTGGGTTAGCCCCCAAGCCTCGAGGGACCTAGGAATCCCTGATGGGTTTAGGGTTTAGGGTTTAGGGTTTAGGGTTTCGGGTTTAGGGTTTAGGGTTTAGGGTTTGGGGTTTAGGGTTTAGGGTTTAGGGTTTAGGGTTTAGGGTTTTTGGGGTTTAGGGTTTAGGGTTTAAGGGAATCTTCGGGCCAAGGCCTTTGGGCGTTTGAAGGCTTTCGGATACACCATGTGAGGCTTTTTGGGAGTTTAGTGCCTTTGAGGGTTTAGTTAGGGTTTAGGGTTGAGGGTTGAGGGTTCAGGGTTCAGGGTTCAGGGTTTCAGGTTTAGGGTTTAAGCCCCGATGGTGTCCATAAAGCCAAGCAAAGGCCTAATCGCGCCGGGTTTAGGCTTGTACTAGCGTGAAAAGGGAAGTCGGGCAGTACCCATAATGACATCATAAAAGCTAAACTACAAAACCCGTAACCCGAAACCCTAAACCCTGAACCGATTTGGTGGCTTCCGAAATTAGGGGTACCTTATTGGGGTCCTTATTACGGGAATCCTACTATTTTTGGGTGTCTATTTTCGGGCCCCGTATCACCCGAAACCCTACACCCTAACCCTAAACCCTGACCCGATTGGGGCCTTTGCTTGGGTTTGAACTCTCTGCCGGTCCTCGGCCGTCTGCACGTCCTCAAGGAGCTCCCGCTTAGCCTCGTCCACTCGCTCCCGCAGCCTTTTTGGGCTCGGGGTTTGGGTTTCGGGTTTACGGTTTGCAAAACCCTAAACCCTAAATCCTAAACCCTACACCATAACCAATCTGGGGTCATGGGGTTTGGTTTTCCTAGAGGGGACCCCTAACCTCACATTTAGGGTTTAGGGCTCAAAACCCCAAACTCCACACCCCAAACCCCAAACCTTAAACCCTAAAAGCACGAAAGGGTTTACTGTTGGGCTGAGGCTAGGCGTTGAGATGCGAAGAAGACCTTAGTCACACCTTTCAAGAGCCTAAAGCTTCCAAAGCCTCTGCTGTAGATGCCCCTACGAGCCATCGCCTAAGCCCCATGCAAACCCTGAACCCTAAACCCTATTTAAACCCTAAACCTTCATTTTGGCGTTCAGGAGTCTTGCTTTTGGGGGTTTAGGAGTTTGGGTTTACGGAGTAGCTTCAAGGGTTCAGTCCCTAAACCCGAAACCCTAAACCCTAAACCCTAAACCCCAAACCCTAAACCCTAAACCCTAAACCCTAAAAACCCTAAAAACCCTAAACCCCGAAGGGCGAGTTCAAAGGAGGGCGGCTGCGTCATGGTGACGATCTGGTCCTGCTTGAGTCCCTGGAAGTGTTGCGAAACTGAATCCTTCGGGGCTAGCAGAAGCTTCAGGGTTTAGGGTTTAGGGTTTAGGGTTTAGGGTTTGGTTGTCTCAGGTGCCCAAAGACCACACGCAGCACTTCTGATTTCACGTTTGTTCCGCAGACCCCCCTGGATTTCAGGAACCTTGGGCCCTCGAAAACACTCAACGGGGTTTAGGGTTTAGGGTTCAACTGTTGGATGACGGTTTAGGGTTTAGGGTTTGGGGCTTGGGGTTTGGTTTAGGGGTTAGGGCTTAGGGTAAGAAAGGGAAACCCTAAACCCTAAATCCTAAACCCTAAACCCCAACCCGTCCCACTTCCATGGTGAGAAGCTGGAGGCCCGACTGGGCACAGTGTACTTTACATAAAGTCTTTGGGCCGGAGCATGGCCTGCAAACACTAAACCCTCCAAAGGCACAGGGTTAAGGGTGTAGGGTTTCGGGTTTAGGGTTTAGGGTTTGGGGTTTCGGGTTTAGGGTTTCCGGTTTAGGGCTTCGGGTTTATGGTTTGGGGTTTAGGGTTTCGGGTTTGGGGCTTCGGGTTTGTGGTTTGGGCTTTAGGGTGTAGGGTGTAGGGTTTAGGGTTTAGGGACTAGTTCATGGCTCGGGATTTGTGTAATGTTCAGTGTTGATACGTGCGGGTCCTCGCAAGCGAGGGGTACTTCGTTGTTTTTCTTTTGGGGGGACCTGGGCCATATTTGGGGGAAAGCCCTCTTTCCGGAAGTCTCAGGATTTGAAGGTCATGGTAGCGTGCCCGAAGGTCCCAATATCTTAACCTCATCTCGCACCTGGCTTCGGGCTTAGGGTTGAGGACGGGTTTAGGGTTGAGGGCTTAGGGCTTAGGGCTTAGGGTTTAGGGTTCAAAAAACACCCCAAGGGCCACGGCCCAAGAACCCGGAAACGCCTCAGGGCCCAATCCCCAAACCCAAACCCCAAACCCCAAACCCCAAACCCCAAACCCCAAACCCTAAACCCTAAACCCTAAACCCCAAACCCTAGACCCTAAACCCCCTCCCGGGGTCCTCGTGCGCCTTGAGCCGCTTCTGCAGGGAGGCCACGCGCTCCGCCTCCGCGCGAAGGCGCAGGCCGCGCTCCTCCTCCACGAGGCGCACCTCGCAGGGGCTTTGGGGGGTTTAGGGCTTAGGGTTTAGGGCTAGGGTTTAGGGTTTAGGGTTTAGGGTTTAGGGTTTGGGGTTTAGGGTTTAGGGTTTAGGGTGTAGGGTTTAGGGTTTGGGGTTTAGGGTTTAGGGTTTTGGGGGTTTAGGGCTTTCGGGAGATAGGGTTTAGGGTTTAGGGCTAGGGTTTAGGGTTTAGGGGTTTGGGGTTTAGGGTTTAGGGGGTTTTGGGGTTTAGTGCTTTAGGGAAATAGGGTTTAGGGTTTGGGGTTTAGTGCTAGGGTTTAGGGATTGGGGAGATAGGGTTTAGGGGATTTATGTAGGGAACGGGTTTAGGGATGCATAGAGGCTTATAGTGACTTCTAGGGATTCACATCGGATTTGGGTTAGGGATTTAGGGTTTAGGGTTTGGGGATTCAGGATTTAGGGTTTAGGGTTCAAAGTTTTGGGATTTAGGTTTTAGGGTTCAGGATTTAGGGTGGGCTTTGTAAGGTTTAACTCAGGGTTTAGAACCAGGTTTGGGCTGTGATTTCTTCAGGCGTTTGACCCCCCAAAGGGCTGCAGTCGGGTTTAAAGGTTCCGGGCTTAGGGCTTAGGGGTTTGGGGGACTAGGGTGGGCCGAGAAGTGGAGTGGGGAAGGAGAGGCATTCTAAACAGAATAGGCACCCCCAAGGGATGCAAGCGTTTGGGGCTAAGGGTTTCGGTGTCCAGCGTTTGGGACTAGGTCCTGTGATTTCAGGCACAATTTTTGACTTGGTCCCCCAGCAACGATTTCATAATAAGGGTACCTTCTGGGTTTGGTTACTTTACCTAGGCTGCCCAGTAACCTAGTTAAAAAGGGTGCCCTTTTTGCTTAAAGGGGTTTATAAGGGAACCTAAACCCCCAAAAAGGGAATAAGGGCACTACTGGGCATCCTAGTTACAAGGAATCCTGAACCAAAAAAGGTATACGATACCACTGGGCGACCCAAATTGAGGGTTAGGGCAAACAGGGTCCAGAGTATGCATCTAGTGCCGCCGGGCTCGGTAAGGAAATACCGACCCAAGCACACTAAACCCTAAACCCTAAAGCCTAAACCCTAAACCCTAAACCCTAAACCCTGCTTTTGGTCCTGGGCTTGAGCGAAAAGCCTAGACACGAAGCCCCACACACTGGAGGGCGGAGTTAGGGTTTAGGGTTTAGGGTTTAGGGTTTAGGGTTTAGGGTTTAGGGTTTAGGGTTTGGGGTTTAGGGTTTGTGGGTTCACGTGGTACGTGCATTGCGCGCCTGCTGATCGACCATTCTAGACCTCAAGCCTACGACGCCCTAAGCACTAAGCCACCTAAGCCCTAGCGAGACCCTGGACCATAAACCCCAAATCCCTAAACCCCTAAGCCCCTCCTAGAGTGAAGGAGAGCCTCCTGAAATCTGGATGCTGACATGTTGCACTTTGTGTTTAGGCAGCCACCCTCCCGCACATAGGACCAGTTGTGCTTGCATTTCTTGCACTTTCTCACATCGATGCCGGACATGTCATTGGGGTCCTCGTCCCACGGGTCGTCGTCCTTCTTCCACCACTGGGAGCCTTCACCCTTCTTGTCGTGGCCACGATCCTTCCAGCTGGAGCCCCACCCCTCAGCGACAGGACTGCAGAGAACCCTGGGCAACAATCTGAGCACACCCGAAACCTAAACCCGAAACCCCATTACCTGTCTTCGCCTGCTCCTGCCGGCCGCGCTCGCGCTCGTAGTCCAGAGAGTCCTCTGAACTGCAGGTCTTGTTTGAGGATCATGGAATTAACGGCTTCAGGGTTTGGGGTTTAGAGCTTGGCTTTAAACCCCAAACCCCAAACCCCAAACCCCAAACCCGAAACCCTAACCCCCAAACCCTAAACCCGAAATGCTTAGGGGGTGGAGGTTTACCGCGGATTTCGGGATGAAGGGTTTAGGGTTTAAGGTTTAGGGTCTAGGGTCTAGGGTTAGGACCTTAACATGGGCAGTAGCTCGAAAAGAAAGGTAGAGGCATGCCTCAAGCAGGTTTCGCAAATTAGAGGGAGCTGCCATCACGTGAAAAATAGCAACATCAGGACAACTTGGGATGCTCACCCTTTATCCTAGCAGCCCCTAATCAGGATTCTAGTAAGGGGGTTACTAGTATCCCGCATGAGGACTGCTAGCTGCTAGCATACGGGGCAAAGGACAACTTAATAGGACAAAGCCACAGTGCAATCAGGACAACTGAAGATAAAAAGGGAACTCACCCCAAGGCTTGGGCTGAGGTAGAGGCCGGTAGGGCTAAGGGTTTCGGGGCTTCGGAACACAACTCTTATTCCAGAATTCCTAGACTTCCCACAAGCCCGATAAGAACTGCAAGCTCCCCAAGCCCTGCATCCTATGAACCCACCCTGTGTGTGCACCAGCATCTGCACACCTCCGCCCCTCGAACCGGTCGCGGCGGGTTTAGGATTCAGGGTTTGCCCCCTCCCTGCGTTGGGGCGGTGGGGGGGGAGGGGGGAGCGGAGCACGGACGCATATAAACCCTATGAACTCCATAAACCTTACACACTGTATCACCCTGAGAAATCCTAGAACCCTAAACCCTAAACCCGAAAAAACTAAACCCTAAACCCTAAACCCTAAACCCTAAACCCCCAAAAACACGAAGCAGGGCGGTCCTGTAGCCGCTGGGCCGCTCGGGCATCCAAGGCGGTGACCGCCGCCATCGCCCGGGCCTCGGTCTCCTGCGCAGAGGCCACATCCTTGAACCTCCTTTTTGGGGTTTAGGGTTTAGGGTTTAGGGTTTAGGGTTTAGGGTTTAGGGTTTGGGGTTTAGGGTTTAGGGTTTGGGGTTTCGGCTTTGGGGTTTAGGGTTTTGCGGGTTCGGGTTTAGGGTTAGGGTGCGGGGGCTTCAGGTTTAGGATGCAGGGTGTAGCGTTTAGGGCTTAGGGGCTTGCCTAGACCACCCAACACCTTTAGCTTGAGGGCCTTTTGAAAGGGACATGGGGGTTTACGAAGAGAAGGGATCGCAAATATAGACCCCCAAGTAGCAGGATTCCCGGGGGCCAATAAGGTACCCCAAATTTCGGAAACCCCCAAATGGTACGAAAGGGCCCTGACACTGAAGGTCATTTTGGGGCTCTTCGATGGGCTCTGGATTCCTTAGCATGGCACGTAAACAGGGGTGCAGGGGTCGAGGTCTAGAGCACACCAACCGTGATCCTAAAGCCCATCAACACGCCCCAGTCCTCCTCCCTAGCCCCCAAAACCTTAAATCCTAAACCCTAACCCCTAAACCCCTAAAAAACCCTCAACCCTAAACCCTAAACCCCTAAACCCCTACACCCCTGAACCCCTAAACCCTAAACCCTCTCCTCCTGGGCCTGCCGCAGGGAGCTGACCTGGGACGCCATGGCCTGAGAGCATTGCGCGCGGGTTCGGGTTTAGGGTTTATAGAAACTGCATAGGGTTGGGGGTTTGGGGTTTAGGGTTTAGGGTTTAGGGTTTGGGGTTTGGGGTTTGGGGTTTAGGGTTTAGGGTTTATTAGCAGCCTTTCAAGCGCCCGAAAAGTACCCACCCAAGAGAATCCCATACCATTAAGATAATAAAAAGATTCACACGCAACCCAAACTCTTAGCCCCAACTAAACCCTACGCTCTCGTCCCTGAACCTTCACCTTAGAGCCCTTCAGCCCTGAGCTCTTCAACCCATGCCAGCCAGTGGCTTTGAAAATGACCCACTGGGGGCGGGGGGGGGGGGGGGGGGGGGGGGCGGGGGGCGGGGGGAAGGCCTTTGCGAATTTTGTCCACAAATTTTAAGAGCTTGGTCACTAATTTTCGGACATTTTTCGGACCTTGCCCACTAATTTTCTCACCTTGCCCGCTAATTTTCGGACCGGGCAAATTGTACAGGGTGTGGGGTTCGGTTTTTGGCCCCTTTAGCTTTTAACTTTTGCTCGCCCAACCGCCCCACCTGCTCGCCTCTGCCTGACCCACCTGCTCGCCCCACCTGCTCGCCCCACCTGCTCGCCCCACCTGCTTTGACACCTTTGAGTTTTTGCCATTTGCTTTTGTTCGCCCCACCTGCTCGCCCCACCTGGTTCAAGGCCTCTTTGCGTTTTTGCTTTTGCTCGCCCCACCTGCTCGCCCCACCTGGTTAAAGGCCTTTTTGAGTTTTTGCTTTTGCTCGCCCCACCTGCACCACCTGGTTAAAGGCCTTTCTGAACTTTTGCTTTTGCTCGCCACATCCGCTCGCCCCACCTGGTTAAATCCATTGGAGCTTTTGCACCCTGTAAGAAGGCCTGAGGGGCCTTTTTGGTGTCGGGTTGTCAGTGGGGGCCTTTTGGTGCCTTTTGGGCTCCCGGTGGCTTTCGGGTCTGCCGTGCCTTTTGGGGCTTCCCGGTACCTTTTCGGGGGCTTTCTTTCTCTATTCTGGGTCCCTAAACCCTAAACCCTAAACCAAAAACCAAAAACCCTTAACCAAAAACCCTTAGCCCTAAACCCTAAACCAGCCCTGCCTGGTCCAACTTGGCCAGCTCGGCCCTCATGTCGAAGACGGCCTGGGTACGAAAGGGGCCGGATACATTTGAACAAGGTTGGTTTAGGGTTTAGGGTTTAGGGCTATTCACGCAGTTACGTCCATCAACATACAACCTTCTGAACAAAAAATGGGCCAGAGGGGAATACTATTAGTAATTGTTCCGATCCCTATGGTGCGTAGCAAAAGCGGCCCCCGAGGTCGGGAGCTGGGAGTTTCAGGCTTGGGGGGTAGGGTTTAGGGTTTAGGGTTTAGGGTTTAGGGTTTAGGGTTTAGGGGGTTTAGGGGGTTTAGGGGGTTTAGGGGGTTTAGGGGGTTTAGGGGGTTTAGGGGGTTTAGGGGGTTTAGGGGGGTTAGGGGGTTTAGGGGGTTTAGGGGGTTTAGGGGGTTTTAGGGTTTAGGGGGTTTAGGGGTTTAGTGGGGTTTAGGGGTTTAGGGGTTTAGGGGTTTAGGGGGGGGTTTAGGGGGTTTAGGGGGTTTAGGGGGTTTAGGGGGTTTAGGGGGTTTAGGGGGTTTAGGGGGTTTAGGGGGTTTAGGGTTTAGGGTTTTAGTTTTTAGGGTTTAGGGGGTAGGGTAGGGGTCAGGCGGTCTGGGGGAGGGTCTCACAGTCTACTAGGGTAGAGTGTCTTAAGGTTTTAGGGTTTGGGGTTTGGGGGGCACCGTTGAGAATTCCTTGCTGCTTGCTGGTGGTTTCGGGCTTTGGGTTTTACGTGCCCTTAACCCTAGACCCTAAACCGAGTGCTCAGGGGTCATACGTATGTCGCGCAACTGAGGCCAAAACCCGGCACTTGGGCATCTAGGGCTTAGGGTGTAGGGTCTAAATTATATATATATATACATTATATATATATATATATACATTATATATACATATACACATATACGCATATAGAAAACATTGTTTGAATAGTTTGGGCTTCGGGCGGTTGGCTTTCTTTGTTCCGAGGTTGGCAACGTTCCAGTCTGTGCCAATCTTTGCAGGGAGTACGATGCCCTCTTTGACTGCCTGCTGAATCCATGGGATTCTCGCCGATAAGTGGCGAAGGATGCCGATGGCAGCTGTGGAGTGAAGGATTGGTGGTGGCTGCTGAAGGTCGAATGCAAAGCACACGCAGGTCCGTACCAGGAAGCAATCGCAGAGGACACCAGGGTTTAGGGTTTAGGGGTTTAGGGCTTAGGGCTTAGGGCTTAGGGTTTAGGGTTTAGGGTTTAGGGTTTAGGGTTTAGGGTCGATGGCCCGCCGACATCGGCTGGAAGTGTGGAGCGGATTCCCAGCACAGCAATGCAGCCTGCGGAGGTGCCCCCTACACCCTGCACACTAAACCCTGAACCCTAAACCCTGCACCCTGAACCCTAAACCCTAAACCCTACACCCTACACCCTACAACCTAAACCAAATCTTTTGGGCGTTGGGGGCGAAGCCCCCGGCAGTGTTGCTGAGCCAGCTTGGCTGATTTCTGAACCCCTCCGAAAAGTTTAGCTTTTATAGCCCCTTAGTGTAGTTTCTACCTAAACCCTAAACCCTAAACCCTAAACCCTAAACCCGAAACCCTAAACCCTAAACCCTCAAAGTTTTAAAGTCCTAAGAGCCAGCCAGAAGAAAGCCGAGCCAGGAGCCTGCTGCGTCTTGCCCGTCTGGATGGTTTGCACATCGCTCACCTACGCTGGAACAGTGTTGCAGTCTCGGGTTTAGGGTTTAGAGAGTTTAGGGTTTAGGGTTTAGGGTTTAGGTCCATATCTATATCTCTATGTATGTCTAGATTCATATTTATATGTATATTTATGTTTATATCTATATTTATGTTTATGTTTATTTCTTGATTACTATTTTTTGGGGTGCGGGCGTGTGTTATGATGGTATTTGGAAGGTTATGACCTCTAATCTGCGCGGTTTGGGCAAGCCCCTACACCCGAACCCCTACAACCCTAAATTCTGGATCCCTAGAACTGGCACTGCAACCCTCAACTTGCAGTTCCGAGCCCTAAACCCTAAACCCTAAACCCTAAACCCTAAACCCTAAACCCTAAACCCTAAACCCTAAACCCTAAACCCTAAACCCTAAACCCTAAACCCTAAACCCTAAACCCTAAACCCTAAACCCTAAACCCTAAACCCTAAACCCTAAACAAACTGTGAAGATCGACTCCTCAGCCCCCAAAGCGCTGAAACCTTACAACCCCAAGCCCCAAGCCCTGTGGCTATAGCCCAACACTTGTCCGAGCCAACCCCAAACCCTAAACCCGAAACACTAAACCCCAAGCCCTAAGCCCTAAACCCCAAACCCCAAACCCCAAACCACAAGCCCTAAACCCCAAACCCCAAACCCCAAACCCCAAACCCCAAGCCCTAAACCCCAAACCCCAAACCCCAAACCACAAACCACAAGCCCTAAACCCCAAACCCCAAACCCCAAACCCTAAACCCCAAGCCCTAAACCCCAAACCCCAAACCCCAAGCCCTAAACCCCAAGCCCTAAACCCTAAACCCTAAACCCTAACCCCCTCCCCCCACCTGCCGCATCACGCGGCCCTCTGAGTCCCTGAGCTCCGAGTTCTGCGCCCGGGCCGCGGACTCCTTGGAAGCCCAGTAGCCGTCTTACCATAAGGGCACCCTTCTTGGGAGGCTTAGGGTTTAGGGTTTAGGGTTTAGGGGGTTTGGGGTTTGGGGTTTAGGGTTTAGGGTTTAGGGTTTAGGGTTTAGGGTTTAGGGTTTAGGGTTTAGGGTTTAGAGTTTAGGGTTTAGGGTTTAGGGTTTAGGGTTACTTTATAAGGGAACCCATAACACCCCCCTCCCCCCCCCCCCCCACCAAAAAAAGAAGGGGTAAAGGGCACCACTGACCTACCAAGACTCCAGGCGCTCCGACACGGCGCTGAGGTTTCCCTGGGCCGCCAGGATCTTGCCTGGGTTCGACACGTAGTGGGTTTAGGGATGAGGGCTTTAAAGGGATAATTGGGCTTAGGGTGTAGGGTTTAGGGTTTAGGGTTTAGGGTTTAGGGTTTAGGGTTTAGGGTTTAGGGTTTAGGGTTTAGGGTTTAGGGTTTAGGGTTTAGGGTTTGGGGCGGTTTGGGGGTTTGGGGGGGTGCGGGGAATTTGGGGGGTTTGGGGGTTTCTTGCCTGGGCTCCATCTTAAGTGTTTGGGGTTGCGGCTTGTGTCTTTTAAATGCACTCCTTTAGATTCCTACCGAAGATGGTACGCCCGGGCTCGAAATAGGGCTTAGCTGTGCCTGGCATCTAGGGCTTTGCGGGTTTAGGGGTTGGGGATTCTACTTAGAGGTTCATGGCACCTATTAGCCAATCATGGCTATACTTATAACTGTACTTACAAGCCCCTTAAGTGCCCTAGTATGGTTATAAGCACAGTGATAAGTACAATTATAATTGGTTAATGAGTACCATGAACCTCCAAGTAGGGCATGCACACGGGGGTTTAGGATTATCCTAAAACCTAAACCCTAAACCCTAAACCCTAAACCCTAAACCCTAAACCCTAAACCTTAAAATCCTAAACCTGCAGGTGGCACTTGATATACACCCAAATTGATAGGATCCTCCTATATATTAGGGGATAGGATGAGGGGGACCCTTGGGGATATAGACCCTCTGAATAAGGTCCCTGTTTAAGGTTCCCTTTTAAGGGTCCCCCTTATCCTATATGGATATATGCACCAGTTCCCAGTGAGCTTGCAACGACAGACTAGACCCAAGAGCAGCAGCACACGGGAAAGAAGGATGCCCTTGTTTGGATGAAAGGGGGCTTGTAGGGGAGCCTGAACTCTACCATAAAGGGGAAAAAGGGTTTAGGGTTTAGGGTTTAGGGTTTAGGATTTAGGGTTTAGGGTTTAGGGTTTAGGGTTTAGGGTTTAGGGAAAAAGGGCCTACTCTGCGTCCTAGAAGATGTGCATGTCACAGAGCTGTTGTTGAGCGGTGCTCTCCGTGCATGTCGCCAGGTGGATGCATCAACAACAAAATAGTAGACACCCTACACCCTGAACTCTAAGCCCTACACCCTAACCCTAACCCTAAATGCCCGAACTGACCTTAACCCTCAACACTACAACGTTGTCCGAGCCACGGTCCAGGTCGTCAATCTGTCTCTGCGCTACCTCCCGCTTTGGGGTTTGCGGTTTAGGGTTTAGGGTTTAGGGGTTTAGGGGTTTAGGGTTTAGGGTTTAGGGTTTAGGGTTTAGGGTTTAGGGTTTAGGGTTTAGGGTTTAGGGTTTAGGGTTTAGGGTTTAGGGTTTAGGGTAGCAGGGTTTAGGGAGCAGTTTTGGGGGTTTGCAGGGACCCCCCCTAAACCCTAAATCCCTAAACCCGAAATCCCTAAAATCCCCGATCCCTAAATCCCTAGATCCCTAAATCCCTAAACCCTAAATCCCTAAATCCCTAAGAACCCTAATCCCGATACCCTAAATCTCTCAACACAAAATCACCAAATCCCTCACCCCTAAATCCCTAAATCCCTATATCCCTAAACCCACAATCCCCACCCTATACCCTAAACCCTAAACCCTAAACCCTAAACCCTAAACCCTAAACCCTAGACCCTAAACCAGATTCCGGTCTGCACCTCCAGGCCGTCTGCTAGTCGCCTTGCGACGCCCTTGGTCTCTCCTGGGCCGAAAAGAGGCTTGGGGCTTCAAGAGAACGAATTCCGAGAGTTGTCCGGCTTTGGGTATATGTAGGGTTTGGGCTTTTGGGTTTTGGGTTTTGGGTTTTGGAACCCCACGCCTAGTGTGTCTATTAATTGCCAGTACCCCCCCCCCCCCCCCCCAAAAAAAACTGGACACGCCAATGTAGATGCCAACGCGGTTGACACTTGGAGGTTCAGGGTACTTATGAACCAATTTTAACTGGAACTGTACTTAGGGCTCACTTATAAGCCCCTCAAGTGCCCTAATATGGAAATAGGTACAGTTCTAAGTACAGATATAATTGGTTACTAAGTACCATGAACCTGCAAGGGCCACTCACCAAGAACAGCATGGCAGACTCCACCTCATATGGGGTTCCCAAGATGAGGGTGCCTCTTTCTGGGGTTCCCAAAAAGGGAGTCTAGCATTTTGCAGGGTATTTCTACAACCACCCAAAACCCAAAATTCCTAAACCCGAAACCCTAAACCCTAAACCGCTCCCCCTGCACAACATCGCTCAGCCCACTACGCTTGTAAAGCCCAACTCTCGGTTGGCAAACCCTCTGAAAACGGTTCTTGAACAAGAGCCTCGTAAAACCAAGAAGGGTCTGTAAACATTTGCTTATCAAAAAAATATCCCAAGCTCTACATGGAACTGAACATGGTTCTTGCGAATGGAAAAAGACGTCCCCTGTGAGAATGTGGAGCCTTCCAGTAAGGGTACTTTACCCACGTGGCCGGGCGCACAAGCTTAAGATGAAACCCCAAACCCTAAACCCTCAAGCCTAACCCCAAACCCTAAACCCTAAACCCCAAACCCTAAACCCTAAACCCTCCGGTGAAGTCTCCATCCAGGTCAATGCTGAAGTCCCGCTTCGCTTCGTGGATCTGATCGGCCAGCTTCCTGAAGGATTGCGGTTTAGGGTTTAGGGTTTAGGGTTTAGGGTTTAGGGTTTAGGGTTTAGGGCTTAGGGCTTAGGGTTAAGGGTTTAGGGTTTAGGGTTTAGGGTTTCGGGTTTGGGGTTTGGGGTTTGGGGTTTGGGGTTTAGGGTTTAGGGTTTAGGGTTTAGGGTTTAGGGTTTAGGGTTTAGGGTTTAGGGTTTAGGGTTTAGGGTTTAGGGTTTAGGGTTTAGGGTTTTAGGGGTTTAGGGTTTAGGGTTTAGGGTTTAGGGTTTAGGGTGTGTCAGGGGAGGGCGCGCGCTCGGGTGTGAAACACCCCGGGCCGCGCGCTCGCGTTGCCCGTCAACCCACCCCGGCCACCCAAACTATACTTTATTAGGGTTTAAGGTTTATGGAATTTACTTTCTTGTGCCCTGATGCTTGCTTTGATGTTTTTAAAGTTGCGGTGTTAGGGTTTAAGCTGGGGTTGGGGGTAGCCTCGGCCCTTTTCGGGCCTTCGGCATGTCAGGGCCCGTAGAGGCCCTTATTTATGTGAAGGTCAGGGAAACCCTTTGTGCCTGCTCCTGGATTCCCCTTCTTTAAGGGCCTCAAGCCTTTTGGTGGCTCTTGGGGCCTTTTGGGGGCGTCCTGGGGGCTTTCCTGGCCCTTCCGGGGTAAAATGAAGGGGTGCCCAAAACCATCGATTTCAGTACCAAAAAACTCGCATTTTCATTGCGGGTATGGGCATCCTGGCGTCCCCCTTCTTTTCGGGGGCCTTTTGAAGCCTTTTGAAGCCTTTTGGTGGTTTTTTGGGGTCTCTCGGGGATTGCTGGGGCTTTCCTGGCCCTTCTGGAGCAAAATGCAGGGGTGCCAAAACCATCTTTCTCAGTACTAAAAAAATCGCATTTTTCATTGCGGGCACGGTCAGATCCTGGGGGCCCTCCTTTAGAGGGCATTTTGACTCTTGGTGCCTCTCGGGGGCCTTGTGGGGTAAATGGAGGGGTGCCCAAAACCGTTTTCAGTACTAAAAAATAGCTTTTTTCCTTGCGGGTACGTGAAAAAACCTGGGGTCCCCCCCCTCTTTTAGGGGCCCTGTCGAAGCCTTTTGGTGGCTCTTGAAACTTCCTTATTTTATGGCAAGTACGGGTAAATGCTGGCATGCCCCCTGGGCCACGTTTTTGGTGGCTCTTGAAGCCTTTCGAGCCTTTTTGGGTGCCTTTGAGGGCCGGTTCTGGGCGTCGACGGCCTTGGCCTCAGCCCCGGCGCAAAGGGGCGGTCTCCCAGACCGGCCCGCCCAACATCACGAAATTGAGCGGGGGGGGGGCCCGGCAAACCCTGAACCCAAAACCCTGAACCCCCTCCAGAGCAGAAGCCGCACGATTTGGGGTTACTCTTTAGCTACGCTAAAGGTGGTGTGGATACGGCCATCCCTTGTTCGAGTGCTGACGTTGTCGTAAGAAGGGCCAATATCCGTTGGCCTGTCCAGGACAGACGGTGAGGCTTAACCCTCACCTTTCCGTCTCTCTCTTCGTATGGGCGCTCGGGCTGTAAGGCCCTCGGCCGAGCGTTCGGGGTCTGTCGCTCGACGGAAGCGACCCCTCACTTAGTTTAGGGTTTAGGGTTTAGGGTTTAGGGTTTAGGGTGTAGGGTGTAGGGTGTAGGGTTTAGGGTTTAGGGTTTAGGGTTTAGGGTTTAGGGTTTAGGGTTTAGGGTTTAGGGTTTAGGGTTTAGGGTTTAGGGTTTAGGTTAGGGTTTAGGGTTTAGGGTTTGAAGTTTGGGGTTTGGGGTTTAGGGTGTAGGGCTTAGGGTTAGGGTTTCGGGATTAAACTTACTTTTGCTTCAGATTCAAAACCCCAGAAAGCACAAGAAATTAAGGTCTTAAGCAAGCCCTTCCTAAACCCTGAACAGCCTCAGCACAAAATCTAAAACCCCCTCACAAATGCCTGAACCCGACCCCTCAAGCCTAAACCCCCCAAAAGGCTGCACCCAAAACACTGAACCCCAAACCCTAAACCCTAAACCCTAAACCCTAAAACCCAAGCCCCAAACCCCTAAACCCCTAAACCCCCAACCCCCAAACCCCTAAACCCCTAACCCCTGAACCCTAAACCCTAAACCTTAACCCCTGAAGCCCTGAACCCCTAACCCCTAAACCCTAAACCCTAAACCCCAACCCCTAAAAGGATGGCCCAAGCTTCGCAGACTCCTTGATCCACGACGCCTGGGCTTTCTCCAGCGCCAGGCCCAGGCGGGACACCACGCCCTCCGCACGCTGCTGCTCCTGGCTCATTCTGGGTCTAGGGTTTAGGGTTTAGGGTTTAGGGTTTAGGGTTTAAGGTTTAGGGCTTAGGGTTTAGGGTCATCAGGTCCTCGATGCGCGCGTTCTGCTCGGCCGACAGCGCCCGCTCGGCGTCTGCCAGCTTGGCCTGAAGGTGCTCGTGGCGCATCTGGAACCTTGCTTTAGGGTTTAGGGTTTGTAGTTTGTAGGGTTTAGGGTTTAGGGTTTAGGGTTTAAGGGAGGTAATTCTCACGTCCTTACGTGACGCGCAACTTTGTAAGGGTACGCAACAAGTCTGGGCACCAACTGCGGGACACACCGCTGCTAGTCATCAAACAATGAAGACCCACAAACTCAGCCATCGCTCACAAATTTCAACTTAGTCTCCATCCCAAGTTGTTGGTAACGTTGCTTGACGGCATCTTGTTCTGTCATAATCAAACGTGACATGTCATCACCTTCAGTCCTCGTTGACATGCGGAAGACATTTTTGTCCCATGAAATGAACGTGAAGTCTTCCATAACGCATGCACCATTTGGGCTGTTCTCCCAAAACCTTGTAGAAAGTGGACACATTTCTAGCCAGGCAGGTGTGAGTGACGATCGTCTCAACAAGAAAGTTAATGGTGCTCGTGAACCTCCAACCGCTCGTCATGTAAAAGTCTTTGAACTTCAACTCGATGTAGGTCGGCCGACCATTGAGCATCACTTTCACCTTCATAGAAATCCCTTTGCAGTCAAACCGCAACCCAAGGACTCAAAAGTCCTTCGCTGGCTATCTTTCTGCTTGATCTTTCATGGAGTTCCATGCCCGTTTGGTCGACTTCCATGCAAACGGGATCGTCGACTTTAATGGCAGCCAAGTCATCAATGATCTCATGGCGCAACTTGTGTTTGATCGAAAACTGTGATACAGCTCCATGGTCAGCACAGCTAATTTCAACCTTCTGTGAATTGGGTTGTTCAACTGAAGGTTCCGGGAAATCTGGTTGCTCACCAAGCAAAACATGGTCAATGATGAATCCAAAAATGCAATTTACCGCGAGCGAACCCCTCGTCAATCACTCCGCGAGGAGCTTTGTGTCGTTTGAGGATGCCTTCCAACTTGACGCGATATTCTCTGCATCTTTCAACCGCCTGATTGCTATCAGCATCAGTGGCGTGAAGATTGAAAATGATCTCATCAAGCTTGTCCTCTGTGACATGCTTGCGCATAAGCTCATGCAAAGGCGGAAGTGCATTGACGGCTCTATCAATCCGCTCGTCGGTGAAGATGTACTGACTAAAAGCAGCACAATTCTTACGGTATTCACCGTAAACTCTGGCCTTTGTGTCGAGAATCTGTTTTGGCGCCGACCTCATCTCTGCTCCCAAAATGCCGATCCCACACGTGAGGTGGGTTAATGCAAGGGGCCGTCTTATGAGCAACCCCGCTGTATATTGATCTCACATCAATGCCAGTCATATAAGAGCACAAAACTGATGCCCTTTCGGCAACAAAACGAAGCTGTCTGTTCAACAAAACACGATCAACTGAAAACTGATGAAACATGAATCACTTGACCGTAGCCATTTTAGGGTTTAGTGTTTAGGGCCACAAAACCGCGGGGTGCTTGGAGGTTCATGGGTACTTATATCTAACCCCAATTGGAAGTCTACTTGCAACCCTACTTAGGGGACCTTAGAGGGCTTATAGGCACACTTCTACTTAAGGTTACTTAGAGCCCAATGACCAGGTTAACCTTTTTAGCTATAGTAGGACTCTACATCACAAAAAAGTTGAAGGTTACCCAGTCCTGAAGCCCTAAACCCTAAACCCTAAATTTAAACCCTAAACCCTAGACCCTAAACCCTAAGGTTCTAAGTACCCAACGAACCTCCAAGTGTTGATGTGGAGGACTGGAGGATGCCATAGATATCCTAGTGGCTCTCAGTAAGGAATCTGGGCTAAACCCTAAACCCTAAACCCTAAACCCTAAACCCTAAACCCTAAACCCTAAACCACATTAGATGGAATTCGGCTCCCCATAGAATCACTTTATTAAGGGATGTAGAATCGGACCCCAGAGAGCTGGTCAGAGTTTGCGGCGGATTGGGGGGCTTTTGACGCAGGACCCCCAAAACTCTAGCACAAATGCCAAAGCCCAAAGCGTCTAGAACTTGGACCTTGACTAGCCGTATACATATCATCATGAATATATATATATATATACAAATATATATATATATATTTATTTATTTATTTATTTATATTTATATTAATAACTACTAATATCTGTCTGCGTGCTTCTGTACACACACAGAGACACCGACCCAAGGGGCTGCGTCCAGAACTCCTGCTTGTCCTCCTCGCGCTGTTGCTGCTGCAGGGACCGAAGCTGGGTGGCGATCTTGTCCTGGACACTTTGGGTGGGTTTAGGGTTTAGGGTTTAGGGTTTAGGGTTTAGGGTTTAGGGTTTAGGGTTTAGGGTTTAGGGTTTAGGGTTTAGGGTTTAGGGTTTAGGGCTTAGGGCTTAGGGCTTAGGGCTTAGGGCTTAGGGCTTAGGGCTTAGGGCTTAGGGCTTAGGGCTTGGGGTTTTGGTTTAGGGTTTAGGGTTTGGGTTTGGGATTTGGGGCTCGGGGGTTTTCGTGCTCCTGTCTTGGGGTAGGGGGCCAGCCCTAAACCCGAAACAATCAAGGCTTAGGCCGAAACCTTAAACCCTAAACCCCACCCCGTTTATTGGCCAAGTTGACCTGCGCTGCTCATGGAAGTCTTGTCAGCACTTGGTGGGCTTGAGGTTTAGGGTTTAGGGTTTAGGGTTTAGGGTTTAGGGTTTAGGGTTTAGGGTTTAGGGTTTAGGGTTTAGGGTTTAGGGTTTAGGGTTTAGGGTTTAGGGTTTAGGGTTTAGGGTTTAGGGTTTAGGTGCCCCACATCACCTTACCGTTTAAGGTGCATAACCCCATGAACAACAGGTCTCAAGCTCGACCTCCAGCCAGAACCCTAAACTAGGAGGTCCCTTTAAGCACATTGAGAGAATCCCCAAAACATGAAGATCTTACCCCTCGAGGGAAAACTTCGAATATCCCAAGCGCCTACCCAGTAAAACCCTAACACCCCAAACCTTAAGCCCTCTTACACATTTACACGGGAGGGAAAGGGGGCTCCTGGGGTCCCCAGAAGGGGGGGGGGGGAAAGCTGTCAGGACCTAGGGTTTGGCGATTAGGGTTTAGGGTTTAGTGTTTAGGGTTTAGGGTTTAGGGTTTAGGGTTTAGGGTTTAGGGTTTAGGGTTTAGGGTTTAGGGTTTAGGGTTTAGGACCTCGGGTCTCGGGGTGTAGGGTTCAGGGCCTAGGGCTTGGTGCTCAAGGCCTGGTCAGGATTATCAGGTTTATGTATTGTCAGCTAAGGTTGAAGGGCGCGTGGGGAAGGGTGCTAGGGTAGGGAGTTTAAGGTTTATAGATTGAGCGAGCTTTATATTTCCTGAATTATAGGATTCTTTGGGCTGGTGGGAGTTTTCCTGTCGCTTGAAAAGCAGCTCGACTGGTGGAAGCTAGAACATGAGAACCTTAAACTCTAAACCCTAAACCCTACACCCTAAACCCTAAACCCTAAACCCTACACCCTAAACCCTAAACCCTGAACCCTAAACCCTAAACCCTAAACCCTAAACCCTGCAGTGAACGCCCAAAATCCCACCCGGTGTCCTTGGAGTCCAGGATCTGCTGCAGTGCAGCAAGGGATGCTTTGCACTCCGCCACTACACCCTGGCTGTTTAGGGTTTATGGTTTGGGGTTTAGGGCTCTAGGGCTCTAGGGCTCTAGGGCTCTAGGGCTCTAGGGCTCTAGGGCTCTAGGGCTCTAGGGCTCTAGGGCTCTAGGGCTCTAGGGCTCTAGGGCTCTAGGGTTTAGGGTTTAGGGTTTAGGGTTTAGGGTTTAGGGTTTACGGTTTAGGGTTTAGGGTTTAGGGTTTAGGGTTTAGGATTTAGGCTTTGGGGCTTAGGGTTGACGCGGGCTTGGGGAGCCGATGTTTGGGGGTTTTGGGGGGGTCTAGGCCTAAAAGGTTGGCCAGATGAAAACCCACAAAGAACTGAAACCCCAAACCCTAGACCCCAGACCCTAGACCCCCAAACCCCAAAGCCTAAACCCTAAACCCTAGAGGAGTTGGGGATCAGAGTTGGTCCGACTGCCCGTCGGGCATGCGCGACGTAGAATGGTTTTTCGTCGTCCTCTTTCCCTCCCTTCCTCGCTCCTTGCCCTCGACTAAACCCTGTAGACCCTAGAACCCTACAAACCCTACACCCACAAGCCTTCAAGCCTTCAAGCCTTCAAGCCTTCAAGCCTTCAAGCCTTCAAGCCTTCAAGCCTTCAAGCCTTCAAGCCTTCAAGCCTTCAAGCCTTCAAGCCTTCAAGCCTTCAAGCCTTCAAGCCTTCAAGCCTTCAAGCCTTCAAGCCTTCAACCCTGAACCCTCAACCCTAAACCCTCAACCCTAAACCGCAAGACCCTAAACCCTAAACCCCCCCTAAAACCCTGAACCCTGAACCCTAAACCCTAAACCCGAAACCCTAAACCCTAAGCCCTTCGAGCCCCCGCAGGAGGCGGCCTGGTGCTCTTCCCAGAGCTCCCGCGCTGCGCTCAGCGCGGCCTCCTGCACCCCCTGGAGGCGCTTGTTGCCTGGGGTTCAGGGTTTAGGGCTAGGGTTTAGGTTTAGGGTTTAGGGTTTCGAGTTTCGGGTTTCGTGTTTAGGGTTTAGGGTTTAGGGTTTACGCCCCGGAGGCGCTTGCTGCCTGGTGAGGTTGTGGGGTTTGGGGGTTTGGGGTTTAGGGGTTTAGGGTTTAGGGTTTGGGGTTTCGAGGTTTAGGGTTTCGGGGCTGTAGGGTTGAGGGTTTCAGGGCTGTAGGGTTGAGGGTTTAAGAGTTTAGGGAACCCTAAACCCTAAACCCTAAACCCTAAACCCTAAACCCTAAACCCTAAACCCTAAACCCTAAACCCTAAACCCTAAACCCTAAACCCTAAACCCCAGCACCCAAAAAAGATCAGGCCCAGCGGCACATCTCCTCCGCCTCCTCACAGCGGCGATTGCAGTCGGTCCCGTTGCGGCTCATCAGCTCGCGCATCTGCTCGAGCTCCTGGCGTCCCCACACAGGGTTTAGGGTTTAGGGTTTAGGGTTTAGGGTTTAGGGTTTAGGGTTTGGGGTGTTTAGGGTGTTTTAGGGTGTTTAGGGTGTTTTAGGGTTTTTTGGGTTTTGGGGGATTTTAGGATTTTTAGGGGTTTTGGGTTTAGGGTTTTTTGCGTTTAGGGTTTAGGGTTGGGGCTGTTCAGGGCTTAAGTTCATTCAGGTTGTGTGGTGATGAAGCTGCGAGGTTTCTCGTAACAGAAATACCGAACAGCTCGATAGGGTTTAGGCCATAGGGCCTTAGGGTTTAGGGTTTCGTCTCAGCACCTCCCTCAGCTGCTGCACGGAGGGCTCCAGGGACGAGAAGCGGGCTTCGTAGCCTTACCGTCTCTCAAGCAAAAAGCTCGGGAGCTAGCTCCCTATACTACCATGCCTGGGAGGGTTGTATAGGGGGATGAGAGGTACCCTAAACCCTAAACCCTAAACCCCAAACTCCAAACTCCAAACCCCAAACCCTGAACCCTAGCAAGTGGCGCATGGCTTCTTGCTCGTCTTGGGCCACGTTCTGCTGCAGCTTCTGGTGTGCCGCGGCCACCTGGTTGCTGTTCTAACTGTTGGCCAACTTTTACACTCGAAACTCCTTCTGACAAGGACCCCCAATTCCCAAAGAAGGACCCTAAGCCCTAAGCACCAAACCCCCACCCTAACCCCCATCCCAAAGACATCATCTCCTTAACCCCCCACCTGGTGCTGCTGGCGGCTGCTCAGTTCCTGGGTTTAGGGTTTGGGGTTTAGGATTTAGGGTTTAGGGTTTAGTGTTTAGGGTTTAGGGTTCAGGGTTCAGGGTTTAGGGCTCCTGCGCCCACAAAAGGGAGACATCACGGGCTCCTGCGCCCACAAAAGGGAGACATCACGAACCCCCCCCCCCCCCCCCCCCCCCGCGGCTCCTACACCATGTCGTTCAGCCCCTAAACCCTAAAAAACCCTAAGCCCTAAACCCTAAACCCTAAACCCCCTAAAACCCCTACAACCCCTTTCACCCCTAAAAACCCCCAAAACCCCTAAAAACCCTAAACCCTCCGGGCTCCTGCACCATGTCGTTCAGCTGCTTCAGCTGCTCCGCCGTCTCCACCCCGAGGGCCACCCGGGCGTTGGCCTCGCGCTCCAGGCCCGCGCGCAGGACCTCCGGGGGCTCTTAAGGGAGGGGGGTTGTGTAACCCGAGGTTTAGGGTTTAGGGGGTTTGGGGTTTGGGGTTTAGGGTGTAGGGCTTAGGGTTTAGGGTTTGGGGTTTGGGGTTTAGGGTTTGAGGTTTAGGGTTTAGGGTTTAGGGTTTAGGATTTAGGGTTTAGGGTTTAGGGTTAGGGTTTAGGGTTTAGGGTTTAGGGTTTAGGGTTTAGGGTTTAGGGTTTAGGGTTTAGGGTTTAGGGTCTAGGGTCTAGGGTTTAGGGTTTAGGGTTTAGGGTTTAGGGTTTAGGGTTTAGGGTTACCAAGCCCCACGTAGCAGAGTAAGGTGCTTTTAAGTTGTGTATAGGTTTAGGAAACAGTATCTGGACCCATAAACCCTTTTAGGGTTAATTTCGTCCATAAACCCCCAAACCCAAACCCCCAACCCCAAACCCCAGACCCTAAACCCAATTTACCCTAAACCCGAAACCCTATAGACCCTAAACCCTATAAACCCTATAAACCCTATAAACCCTATAAACCCTATAAACCCTATAAACCCTATAAACCCTATAAACCCTATAAACCCCATAAACCCTATAAACCCTAAACCCTATAAACCCTATAAACCCTAAACCCTAAACCCCAAACCCTAAAAACCCCTAAAAACCCTATAAACCCTATAAACCCTATAAACCCTATAAACCCTATAAACCCTATAAACCCTATAAACCCTATAAACCCTAAAAACCCTGTAAAGCCTAAACCCCGATGAAGGGACCTCCAGGTTGGCGGAGGCCGACGCCGCCACTGCGGCGGCGCCCATGGCGGCTTCGCCGGTGCCTCCCCCGTTGCCGCCCGCGGCGCTGAGGACGCCCGTCGACACTGCCTTATAATGGAGACTCAGGGTTTAGGGTTTAGGGTTTAGGGTTTAGGGTTTAGGGTCTAGGGTCTAGGGTCTAGGGTCTAGGGTCTAGGGTCTAGGGTCTAGGGTCTAGGGTCTAGGGTCTAGGATTTAAACTTTAGGGTTTAAAATTTCGTGCCTTATTGGGTTTAGGGTTTAGGGTTTAGGGTTTAGGGCTTAGGGTTTAGGGTTTAGGGTTTAGGGTTTAGGGTTTAGGGTGTAGGGCTTAGGGTGTAGGGCTTAGGGCTTAGGGCTTAGGGCTTAGGGCTTAGGGCTTAGGGCTTCAGGGTCCTTAGTAACCCATTACCCCAAACCCCAAACCCCAAACCATTTTGGGGGATCCTTGTGTCTCCAATAAGGCAGTGTCGACACAACTACACTTATACTGGGTTACCCTAAATCCTAAACCCTAAATAAACCCTAAACCCTACATCTACACTAAGGATATGTTACTAAGTAACCTGAACCCCCTTAGACCCTAAACCCTACCTACACCCTAAACTCTAAGCCCTTTAGGGTTTAGGGTTTATAAGGGTTTAGGATTCGGCGGGTTCAGGATTCAGAGGGTTTAGGGTCTGGGGTTCAGGGTTTTGTTGTTAGGGTTTGGGGTATACTATAGATGGCCCACTGTTTAACCCGGAGGTCTAACCCTAAGGACTCCTACTTTGAGATTGTTGGTCCCAAAGGCCTTATTCTAAAGGGTTTTGGGGCTATTTTGAGCCTAAGGGAAAAGGATCCCCTAGAATAGGGGTTCAGGGATGAGTGTTTTTGTAGGGTTGAGGATATACTAAACTAGCCCCTGAGATTGGGATCGCAGATACCCTATACCTACTGCAGTGCCTATTGAGGTATATGGGCCATACGTCTTTCTAGGGCTCATCTTGTCCCCAAGGTGCATTCATGACGCCCTGCACCTGTGCTGCTGCTTGCGCCAAGCCCGCTTCGAGCTCCTGCAAGCGCATGTCCTGCTTCTGGTTCTGTGCCTTAGTTGCTTTAGGGTTTAGGGGTTTCGGGTTTAGGGTTTAGGGTTTAGAGTTCATAAGCCCCGAAAAAAGTGTACACTTTCAGTTCTATAGGGGCTTATCGTATCCCAAACCGTGTAAAGTGTACTCATTCAGCTACGAAGGTGCTGTGAGGGCCCCAACAAGTCGTTGCTGCTGCTGACCGCTCTCGTGCCCGGCAGAGCGGACCTGCTGGAGCTGAGCGTGCAGCTGCTCATGCTCCCGCTGCACCCAGTCCTTGAAATGCTTGTCGGCTTGCTCAAAGCCAGCGAAGCGACGGGAAATCTCCGAGCGCTGCTCCGTGATCGCGACTTCGAGCCGTTTCTCCATCCACTCCCGGGACTCTCCAGCGGGCTCCAGGCTCATCCGAGGCCGCAGGTTCGCAGCCTTGAGATCCGCACGCCAGTCTGCTTCGATGGGAGCTCCGACTCCGGCACCCAGGGCACCCCCACCCCAGCCTTGGTACCAGAAACCATATTATCATAGGGGCACCCTCTTTTTTTGGTTTAAGGGAACCCAGAGAAAAAAAAAAAAAAAAGGAAAAGGGTACCACTGGGCTACCAAGCAGCCAATGGGTGGCAGGGGGTTTTGGTAGGGGAAGGGTGCCTGCAGAGGCGGCAGCTGCTCCTTGGTAGCTTAGTAACCATCTTATAATCAGGGTACCCTTTCTTGTTCAGATGCTGTATAAGATGTTACAAAGGAAGCCCAGAACCAAAAAAAAAAAAAGTACGAGGCAAAGGGTACCCCTGGGCCTAAACCCTAAACCCTAAACCCTAAACCCTAAACCCTAAACCCTAAACCCTAAACCCTAAACCCTAAACCCTAAACCCTAAACCCTAAACCCTAAACCCTAAACCCTCCACCAAGGCTCCAGTTCATCCGGCCGGCTGGGTAAGCTCCGGCTCTCGCGGCCCGTCACATGGTCATCCCTCGACCTGGGCCGACCGGGCCGGTTCGGAGGCAGCGAGTCCTCGCGCTTTAGGGGTTTAGGGTTTAGGGTTTAGGGTTTAGGGTTTAGGGCTTAGGGTTTAGGGTTTAGGGTTTAGGGTTTAGGGTTTAGAGTCCTCGCGCTGGTGCAGCACCGACCTATACTGAACTTGGACACCCAGCAAAAATTAGAGCTTTTGCTGTTTCTTCGGAAAGAGAGTACCCGAAAATTGAAAATGATTTTCAAGTACCCCTAAGCGACCACAGGTGGTCCGGGCGATCTTTGCCCATGGGCCCATGGTTGATGTCCGCCGGCGCGCCCGCCGGAGTCTTGCGGCGCTGCCCAGCGGGCGGGAGGTCGGACCCCGCTCGGAAGGGAACGCCTGCAGGAGGGGCTCCGCCAGGAGGCCGCGGCGGGAGTGCGGGCGGCGCGCCAATCATGGCGTCTCACCACATGCCCACATGAGGTCAGAAAGTCGTGGTGAAAGCATGGCTCATATTGACCTGCTGCTGCGCTCTTAGCCCCGAGCTGCCTCTGCAACAAAGACCTGTCTGCTCTGACTGCGCTTTTTGGAGCTCAACTTCGGAATAATTGCGGCACAGGCGTCCCGAGCCTGACGTGTCAGCGTGCTGCCTCCAGGCACAAGCCACGCAGAAACAATGAGAGAACTGTTTCTAGACGCCCTGAATTTAACCCCAAAAACCTTCCACCCCTCAACCCTAAGCCTAAGCCCCTAAAAGCTCAGCCCTCTTCTTAGTTTGAGGGCATCACAGACGCGTAGGTTGCTTTCCTCAGGCTTTAGGGCTTTGGGGCATTTTAGGGAGTAGGTCTAAGCATAACGGAATGAAGGGCAAGCAACTCTCTCTCTCTCTCTCTCTCTCTCCAGACTTGCTCGTACTGACATCACGGTAGACGATTACTGGGCACCTACAACCCCAAACCCTACAACAGCAGCTGATGCTCCCGCCTGCACGGGGATGACCCTCGACAATTCGGCACTCAACCGGGGCAACCCTAAACCCTAGACCCTGAATCCTGGAGGGTCCAATTTATGAGCAAATTCTGGTACCCTAACCTACTAGGAGTATCATAATTCGGGACAACCCCCAGGTAGGTTTAGGGTTTAGGGTTTAGGGTTTAGGGTTCAGGGTTCAGGGTTCAGGGTTCAGGGTTCAGGGTTCAGGGTTTAGGGTTTAGGGTTTAGGGTTTAGGGTTTAGGGTTTAGGGTTTAGGGTTTAGGGTTTAGGGTTTAGGGTTTAGGGTTTAGGGTTTAGGGTTTAGGGTTTAGGGTTTAGGGTTTAGGGTTTAGGGTTTGGTGATGGAGGTCTAGGGTGCAAGTGCCCTTGCTGCAATCCAGATCGCTCTGCGAACTCATCTGCCAGGTGCCCTAGACCCTAAACAATCCTAGGGTTTGGAGGTTGTTACAAGGGCGCTGTGTACACCTTCGCAGAACCCCAGGACACTCTAGAGACAGCGTCTAGGCCTTAGGGCTTAGGGTTTAGGGTGCTCTAATACTCCACCCTAAACCCTAAACCCTAAACATACGGAACCGTGAACAGAGAAAGGAAAAAGTTCGAAGTCCGTCCTGTGTGAAGGTGCAATCCCGAACCCTGCAAAGGTGTAGGCTGCAAAGCCCTTAAACCCTAAACCCTAAACCCTCAGCCCTAAACCCTAAACCCTAAACACCAAACCCTAAACCCTCAACCCTCACCTAAACCCTAAACAGCAGCCCTGCTTCCCTCCACCACCGGGCACGTCACAGCTTCGTTCCAGAATTGCGTCTCGGCTGATTTTCCTGGCACAATGAAGGCCGATAGGTTTAGGATTTAGGGTTGGGGATTTCAGGCGATTTAGGGTTTTGAGATTAGGCCTTTAGGGTTTTGGGTACCGAAAGTTTTAGCATTGAGGGGCTGGGAAGTGAACTTGATTCCACCGTAAAGTGTGAACTCAAATGCTTGGAAACAGGGGGGTTTAGGGTTTAGGGTTTAGGGTTTAGGTTTTAGGGTTTAGGGTTTAGGGTTAGGGGGAGGCTATCACAACAAACCTACGCATGATCTGCAGGACTTTCACCAGTAAAACGATTTTCTCCCGAATGCACACCGGAGCAGTTTTGCTTGATCCTAAACCCTAAACCCTGAGTTCTAACAACCCTTGAACCCCAGCTCTAAACCCCTCAACCCCCAACCCTAAGCCCGAAACCCTAGACCCCATAATCTCTTACAAGTACTTATAAGCCCGAAACCCTGAAACCTATAAGTGAGTCGTGCTTTAAAACTTTTGAAAATTGTTTATGAATAGGTTCCCTCATAAGGAAACAACTGAAAATTAACAATGGTCCCAAAGCACAACCCTATAAGCCCTAAACGCTACACCCCCGAGAGCCCTCCCTCACAGAAGAGAGAATGGCCGTGGAGGAAGTGGGAGCCTAGTGTTTAGGGTTTAGCGTTTAGGGTTTAGGGTTCAGGGATCAGGGTTTAGGGTTCAGGGATCAGGGTTTAGGGTTTAGGGTTTGGTGCTTCAGCATTTCGTTGCGGGGCTGGCAGATGACCCTAAACCCTAAACCCTAAACCCTAAACCCTAAACCCTAAACCCTAAACCCTAAATCTTGATGGCCTCTTGACGACTACGATGACAGCAACAACCGCGTGACAACCAAAAACCATCGTGGTTTGGGCAGGTTCAAGCTGGAGAGCATCATGGCCTCTGAACCCCAAGGGTTTAGGGTTTAGGGTTTAGGGTTTAGGGTTTAGGGTTTAGGGTTTAGGGTTTAGGGTTTAGGGTTTAGGGTTTAGGGTTGTAGGGTTTAGGGTTTAGGGTTTAGGGTTTAGGGTTTAGGGTTTAGGGTTTAGGGTTTAGGGTTGAGGGTTGAGGGTTGAGGGTTTAGGGTTTAGGGTTTAGGGCTCAGACTCGGTGCAAGCCCTTCACCCACAACTAGCGGATAGGCCAGCGCCGCGCGAGCAAGATCTATCCTGGGCTCAAGCATTGGGTTCGGGTCGTTTTGGGGCTACATTGTAGGACTACATTATAGGTTTCGATTTTTGGGGTTAATTGCAGGGTTCTAAGGTTTTTTGCTCTCTCCACTCAAACTCTGCACGTGCATGGTGTCAAGTGCGTTCGCCTCAGACTACGTCAAGAGCCGCCAACACCGAAGATGCACAGCTCGAAATGCAGAAAGCCCATCACCCAAATCAAGCTTTGACTGAAACTTGTACAAGCACAAAAACAGCTAAACCCTACACCCTAAACCCTAAACCCTAAACCCCAAACCCTAAACCCTAAACCCAAAACAGCACAACAACCAAAATGACCAATGGCGGCCCCAGGATCGACGACTGCGAGCCCCGCCGCAAGCTTCGTCGAGCTTCGGCCGCCTGCTGCTGGGCCTCCGCTTCTGCCTCAGGTCAGATTTAGGGTTTGGGGTTTAGGGTTTAGGGTTTAGGATTCAGAGGGCTTAGGATTCAGAGGGTTTAGGGTTAGGGTTTAGGGTTTAAGGTTTAAGGTTTAGGATTCAGAGGGTTTAGGGTTTAGGGTTTAAGTTTTAGGATTCAGAGGGCTTAGGATTCAAGGGTTTAGGGTTCAGGGTGTAGGGTTTAGGGTTTAGGGTTTAGGGTTCAGAGGATTTAGGGGTTAGGGGTTAGGGTTTAGGATTTAGAGTGTGGGGCTTCGGGTTTATTTCGGGTTTAGGGTTTAAGAGGATCTCTTTTTGATGTCGCATGTTTTAAAAGATTTTAAAAAGGGATGCCATGGGCTACGGGATTCGGGCTAAGCCGGCTAAGCTTGCAGCGCGAATAACCGGCAATAAGCTCTTACCCCTCCCACACCCTGCACTTACCCTAAACCCTAAACCCTAAACCCTAAACCCTAAACCCTAAACCCTAAACCCTAAACCCTAAACCCTAAACCCTAAACCCTACTGGTTGTTTGTAGGGAATGAGGGCAAAAGGTACCCTAATGCACTCCGTAGCCTTAAACCCTAAACGGCATATGCAGGGGGGGGATAATATTAAGGTACCTATGTAATTTCCTGAACCTGAAACCCGAAACCCTAAGCCCCTAAACCCTGAAACTCCTGACCCTAAACCCTAAATCCTAAACCCTAAACCCTAAACCCTAAACCCTAAAACCCTAAACCTTATAAACCCTAAACCCTAAACCCTAAACCCTAGGTCAACCCCATCCGGCCTCGCCATCTTGATCGTCTTGGGGCTCCTCCGGGGCATGTCGGAGGTTGTTTGGTTACATGAAAAAAGATTTAGGGTTTAGGGTGTCTAGGGTGTCTAGGGTGTCTAGGGTGTCTAGGGTGTCTAGGGTGTCTAGGGTGTCTAGGGTGCTTAGGGTGTTTAGGGTGTTTAGGGTGTTTCGGGTGTTTAGGGTGTTTAGGGTGTTCAGGGTGTATAGGGTTTATAGGGTTTCTAGGTTTGTAGGGTATCTAGTGTTT